AACACCTCAAATACAATTGTGAAGACGATACATTTTTGAGACCTTCTGAAGTGGATTCCGTACATAAAGTGGCATCTTACTCGCTCCATAGATGAACCTTAGACCGTTTAGACTTAAATTGTGGGTTTTTAATTTTTTTATTTTAAATTATTTATTTACAACTCCGAAAGTACAATTGTGAGGACAATACAATATTGAGGACTTTTGTACCTCAGTGTTCATCAACAATAGTATGAATTTACCATAAGAACTGAGATTGTTTTCTGGAAAATCTCCAGGGATTCCTTTTACCGAATTTACTGTTTGCTGGGTGGTTGTTGTTGATTAATAAAACATATTTTCTTCTGGGAATAGGCAATCTATTAGCGCATACAATATTTACAAGGGTGTGTTGAATTTGGTCTCTGCGGAGTGATCTATATGTAATGGGAAAAAAAAGAAACAGTGAGACGCGATAAAAAAAAAGTTCTTTCAAATCGTATTCCGAACACGACTTTCCAGTTTCACGTTTTCCCCCCATTTAAGTTCATAAAGCATCTAAAGGGGACGTCCTGTCCCGTTCACAGACTGCAACGAAACATGAAATCTTCTCGTCAACTTTCCCAACGGAAGAATATAAAGTAAAGAAGGATAGGGTAGATATTGTGAGGTCAGTGAGCCCAGAGTAATCAATCTCCGTGGAACAAATGACGGTGGATCTACAGAAAGGGGGAGAGCGCGAGGGCGAGAAGGGTGGATCGCATGGGGGTGGAAAGCACAGGGGTGAGAGAAACGTTGACAATAGCAAGCCCTGGCGGTCCGGGCAACAAGTACAGGGTATTAAAAGCCGATTCATCATCCTACACCCCCCGACACCGACGGACCCACAGCTTTTATTAAAATACGTCTACCGTCTCCCATCCAGCCTATTACCTACTCAAATTCTATACGGACTTTCACTTCCCCTTAATCACAACCGAAAAAAAAATCAGAAAAACTAATGAAATTAATTTCTACAGTTAATCCTTTACAGGGCATTAAACAAATACAGCAAATTTGGAGGTTACCTTTAATCTAAATAATTAGATAATCCCTCTCATAATAAGTCGTTCTTGCTATACAAGTATTAATAATAATTATAAATGAATAAAGTTAATAATTTTTTATCGTATGTATATTATACACACCTGTAGGACGTCTGAGGGTTCGTCGTAGATAGATCTTATAGGCGCTGGCCTCTTTACGACCTATGCACGTTACAAGTATTGGTTTATTGTGTATCTCCATTTTTATCTAGAGCTCCTCGTTAAGCTTGAGGCTTTTTACCAGACCCCAAATCTTTTTCAAGGGCTCCCGTGTGTATCCCTGGCTTTTCATCTCTCAAGATTAGGAATCTCACCAACAGAGGACGTGTTCCGCTTCTTCTTCTTGCCAATATCTGCACAGGCTTGTTTCTACCACCCCAAGTCTATGCCTCAGGAGTCTGCAGTGTCCAGTTAGTCACGCTCTAGTTCTAGCACGCCCTACATTTAGTAGTTCGGTCGTTAGTTTCTGCTATGGTCTTTTGATAAACGTTTTCGTATGTCTGTTCTGGGCTTCATATTGAGCGGAGGACTTATTATTAATCCAGTGTCGAATGGACCCGCGTTTTTGGCAGTTTGGTAAGTCACCAAAGGGTTCAGGGCCAATCGTGTCCTCATTGAACTTTCCTTGACCAATTTATCGGCCTCTTCGTTGTCCCTCTGCCCTGTGTGCCCTGGCACCCAGACAAGGGTAATTTTGTCATTTTCTCCAATGTCTGACAGGGCTCTAATGCAGTCCCAAACGACTCTGGGCTTTACCATCGATGCGGCAATTGCCTTCAGTGCCGCCTGGCCGTCCGAGTAGATGACTATTCTGACAATTCCCAGCCTGACACAATGTTCAACAGCCACAGTTTTCGCTTGAAAAACGGTGGCATATTACCCACGGCTTATATGAATTCTAGTGCTAGGCTTATTTCCATAAATGCCAGCTACTAACCCATATTCGGTTTTGGAACCATCTGTAAACCAGATATGGTCTCCCTTTCTCCCAGTTCTACAAGGTATTTTTATTAGAAATTTTTTTGTCAAAACTGGATTTAGGAGTCATCAGTGTATCAGTAGGCATCTCCAAAGTTCTGTCTAGCTGAAGCTTCCCTCGAAGCTTTAGTTGCTCCTTGTTATACGCGTAGGCTGTTGGATTTGCATTAACTTATGAATCGTAGCTCAGGTCTCTCTCAGGATGGTAGATTCAGGATTTCCAGCGCGGCCGTAGGGGTTGTCTTTATTGCCCCAGTGATGCTCAGACACACCAGTTTTTGAGCAGTACTGAGGACTTGGACCGCCCTTAGCTGTAATGTCTTAGTCCACCAAACTACTGATCCGTAGGCTACTATAGGTCTAACAACCGCTGTGTATAGCTGAAAACCTAAGGAAGCTGTGATATTTTTATGGGACTCTACAGGGAACTGAATAGCGCGCCTTTTTGCCATCATCAATGGTGAGTTTACTCCTAGATACAACTAAAGTATGACTAAACACAAGAGACTCATTCATTTACTAATAACTTTTCTATCCTGCAGTATCAAAAAGTGTATTTATTATTAGACGCTTATGTTTTATGCTTTGCCAATTAACATAAATCAAGAACCTACATACGGGGAGAATTCCGATGGTCCCCTGTGTTTTTAATTGTAAATAATTTAGTATATATTAGCGTGAAAGATTGACGAATAACTGTATTTATCTGCGAAAATGATGATGGAAGGTACGCATGGTTTTAGGCTATAGGTTTTCGCGTGAATGATGATCGGTTACCATCGGAATAGCTTTTATCTGATTTAGATTGAAAGGATTCGAGCCGTTGGATATTGGAAAGTTTAGCGCTCCCCTCAGTTCTATACCCTACGTAGTAGCGTTTTGTAGACTGCAAGTTGGTTTTGTCGATAGCTTGGATTGATATCCTTTATGTTCGTAGAGTAGACCGTCCGTTTACGTCATGTTATTTTAGTCGTGTATGCTGATCACATGTTAAGCATGAGTCTAGGAGGAATCCAAGATAACGAACGCAGTCGGATTTGGGGATAGTGTAAATCTGACGTGGAAGCACTTGCTTTTATTTACGTTCATTTTTCATTGTCTACACCAATCTGCTATACATTTGACCTGTCTCTGAAGTTTTTGTGAAGCAGCCATAGGATCGGGGTTAGAGAATAGTACAGCCGTGTCATCGGCAAAAAGATGCAAGGAGTAGTAGGCGTAATGGGAAAATCTGCAGTATAAAGGATAAAGATGATTGGTCCGAGCACACTGCCCTGCGGTACTCCCGCGGCCAGAAAAGCAGTATTCGTAATAATCTGATCCTCGTCCAAAACTGGAAGTGGAATCCCGCATAGAAAGCAGTTTGAAAACTAAAACAAATTACAAAGTTTTAATTACTTAAACACAATTATTAATTATATATTTTTTATCACAGTTAGGTAGAAATGTTTAGTTGAGAAGCTTCATGCACATTTGGCAAAAACTAATTTACACCCTGTTAAAATAAAAAAACATTTTCCTAAGGAAGTATAACACAAATTGAAATAAAAACCGTTCTTAGCAGCATTGATTACTAAACCGTCTGCTGGAAGTGGTCGTCGGCTGAGAATCACTTGAGTAAAAGATAATATGTACATACAAAGATAATAACTAAAATAAAGTAAAAATAAAATTAGATAAAACTGTTAGAGTTTCTCAGTATAAAATTAAAAATTAAACTGCTTCACAAGCTCTGCGATACTCCAGTGGACTCTTCCCAAACCTAACCAGGTCTGAGCAATCTAGGGAATTAAGTTTTGCGATCAAACCCGGTCTCAAAACTCTAGTTCCCGAAAAAAGAACACGAAACCCTGAAATAATGGGACCTCGCCAAAAATGGAAGGTCGACCGTTATGCAGAGAAAAGTGTTCAACGGGGAGTAATTAAGGTAGATAAGTTCTCAGCTACGTTTGAAGAACCAACTTAAACTGATTAAGTCGAAAAATGCCGTAGAATGAAGTTCCTTGTAGATCAGAAATCTGTTTGATATAAGAGCCAGTTCGGTAGAAGCTTCAAAATTGATTCAATGGATGATTAGACATTCATTCACTCAAAGTTAATATTAAAATTATGGGCTTTAAACTTAAATTAACTTTAATTTAAAATTGAGCACTTTAAAACAGGATAAATTAGCGTTAGTTATTTCAACCGCCATAATTTTGTCCTTTGCAATTTATCCTTACCGGGAATATATTACCTTCACTATTATTTATTATTATGACAGCCGTATATTTGAAAACTGAAGAGCCATACGCACAATCGTCTAAGTACGGTCCTTATTATAAACGAGTTTTTTATTTAAATTTCTTCCAATATGGCCAGACAATTTAACGTGAGATTGGCGTGGGAATGCAAGCCCTGCGCTTGAGTTATGAAAGCCCAAGCCATTCTTGAGATTTTCATGCCATGTGCTTAGGGGACGTCATCGCTTTGAACGCTTCGTGCTTTCCGTGCAAGTCTTATAACGCTGACTTTGGTGATATTTTTATGGTTATGATTTTATTTTATAAAACTAACAGAAATTTCCTTCGATTATGTGTGTGTAAGGGTTTATTAACGATCGCTCACGCCCACCCAAACACTTTGGTGATCCATCATTGGCACAAACTAATTACTTCCCGTTAACATTAATTTATTATTGAAACCTTACCCTAATTTAGACACACACACACACACATACATGCATACACTCTCTCACTCTCTCTCTCTCTCTCTCTCTCTCTCTCTCTCTCTCTCTCTCTCTCTCTCTCTCTCTCTCNTTTATCCTTTTCTTTCCTGTCCTATAAAATCATATCCTTTATTCATCATTCTGTTATAACGACTGTCTTTTTACAAATGTTTGTCTTTCTACACCCTGTTTTAAACTACTGTTTGCTGTTATGAATTCGCCTGCGAATATTTATATTGATTTTGTTTTAGCGTGGGTCGAAGACGTCAACGGGGACCTCAGCAGCGTCATTTTGCCACACTACGATTTATACGAATATGAGGATACAGGAAATTGGTAAGAAAACCTTAATCGCAATGTAACTGTAAAAATACATATATAATTAGAATTAGGTAAATCACAATATATTAATTATTAACTTTATTGCCTATTTTAAAGAGAAAAACAACAGCCAACATTCCGAGACTATCAAACATATCCATAATTATATTGACTTTTACAAAAATTACTTTTTTAAAGTTTATTGTATCAAATGGGGTTCGAAACCCACTCGCGACACTAATTTTTCACCTGAACAAAAACCTCACTTGAAAAGAATAATTAATATGGTCAATTATGACCACTAAACGAATATGGATTAATTTAATAATTAAAAGAAGTTATTCAGATATCGTGAGATGCGGTCGGGTGTGATGTAGGTTTCAGAAAACATTTTCTTTATCGTGCCAACGTTTCGATCTTTTATTGAGATCATCATCAGGGCCTGGGATTTACAAACAATGTTTACATTTAACAAATACAACATCCTCTCAACACGACACGCAAGGATGGCACAATTACACAGAAGACAAACACTTTGAGTGAGTAGAAATACTTTGTTTGAATATAAAATATATTTTGCATTGTATAAATTCACTTTTCCACATCCTAAATTTATTTGTTAAATGTAAACATTGTTTGTAAATCCCAGGCCCTGAAGATGATCTCAATAAAGATCGAAACGTTGGCACGATAAAGAAAATGTTTTTCTGAAACCTACATCACACCCGACCGCATCTCACGATATCTGAATAACTATCGATTAACGGTCACTAATCTCTACACATTAAAAGAAGTGATCATTTCACCAATAGCTCCCCATGGCCACTTCCTAAGTAGCTGAGAATCCTGATGACACGACTTTTGAAAATATGGCAAAAAGAGGGAAATTCGAACGATTGTAGGTTGAGATGGGAAGTTGGTGTTCGTGGGGATCGAAGTCACGAAAGCTCAAGTAGTTGGAGCAGTGGATTCAGCCGAAGGTCGTGGGTTCGAATCACACTCGTGACACTAATGTTTCATCTCAACCAAAAACCTTAGATAAAAAGAATAAATAATTAGAGTAAATTTTATTTATTTGTCGTTTGATAAGCGTATTCCCATGGAAAATATATGTCAATTAAGAACCTGTACCCTCACAGTAAGTAGTGTTTGTTAGACTAAAAATGTTTATTAAAACTTTCTTATTAAAATTCTTCAAGGTACAGTTAAGATCTTTTTATGTAAGTCGATGGTGGCTCTCGGAGGATTTGACTCGTAGGGGAAGGTAAGTCGATTAAGGATAGACCATGTGAGGCTGACGCACTGACGCTTACTTTTGAGCCGGCATGTAGAGAAAGGTGACTCCATGTGTCCCATTTAACTGAAGATAGTATTTTCTTGGCTCCATATAGAGAGCATGTAGTGTACCCATATGAGAATTGTGCTTGAGCACGCAGTATCTAGGTCCACTGTTCCGTTTTTCGAAGGAAACAGTGGCTTTTATTGTATGTAGGAATGATAGTTTTCTGTACCAAGCGTGTTTTGAGAGTGAATGTATTTATTAGTGTGAATGTATAGTGTGTAAGGACTATATAGAGTACTCCCATCGACTTTCTATTAGGTTAGCTATATAATACTAGCTGGGTATGTAAATAAGTAAGAACATATTTAAAGGGGAGTGAGACTGTGAATGGATCATCATAGGTTAGTTGCTGAATTGACTTAGCTGTTGACAGCACCCGATGCTCAACCTCGATGAACAGATAAGACTAACCGAAAAACTCAGATATTAGGTCAATTACGATTGTTGAAATTGAGCATTATGTTATCATGTTTATTTAAAAATTACTTTTCAAACCCCACAAAAACGTTTCAGTAGTTTTTTAGACAGCAATGAAAAGTTCACATTAAACTGGATATTTATTTATTATTAAAAATTCACTAGTTTTCGTGGTCCGCTTGACCAATTAATATCTTTCAATTAGTTAAGGTTTTTAGCTGAGATAAAAAAGTCAGTGTCACGAGCGGGATTCGAACCCACGACCTTCGGGCTAGATACGCCGCTTCTCTACCATTTGAGCTATCGTGACTTCGATCCACTCGGACACTAACATCCCATCTCAACCCCACCTTTTTGAATTTTCCTTCCTTTTTGCCTTTTGTTAACTCAACTAAAAACCTTAATTAATTGAAAGATATTAATTGGTCAAGCAGATCACGAAAACTAGTGAAGTTAATAAGTTAAAATGAAGTATATCTTCACTAAAGCTTTCCGTGGCCATTTTGGTTGTGGCAGGGAATCAAATAGATTACACGACATTTGAAAAATGGCAAAAAGGAGGGAAAATTCAAAAAGGCGGGGTAGAGGTGGAAAGTTCCGAAGTCACGATAGCTCAAGTGGTAGAGTAGCGGCGTATCTAGACGAAGGTCGTGGGTTCGAATCCCGCTTGTGACACTGACTTTTTTTATCTCAACTAAAAACTTAATTAATTGAAAAATTATTAAAAATGTTATTGCAGTCTACAGTAGTCAGTACCAATTATCAAATACACAATTCCAATGTGCAAAAATTAATTAACGATTATATTATTCGTTTTGTATCACACAAATAAGTCAACTAATTGACTATTGGAAGTCTGCCTAGAAGGTCGCCAATCTGGCCAGGAAACCTTAGACTAGAATCCGACGACCTAAAGATCTCTGCTTTATATTCATTAATTAATAAACATCAACTTATCTTGAACACAACATTGTTCATTTTTATCATTCAATCGATTCCTTGTTCAAAGTCTCGAATGGAGAAAACACATAGGCAACATTCTGCATAAAGCAGGTGTTCTGATTTTCGAAGGAGGCAGGGCTGTTGTATATAGTAATGGTAGTTTTTATATAATGTATTTATTAGCGTGAATGTATAGTGTGTTGGGGTATTCAATAATCTGCTATCACATAACAGACCCACAATAAAGTTAATTATATAATATGTGTAGAGGATGATGGAGTATCGAGTACCTCCACAAAAAAATGTATTTAAGAATGAGTGAGATGTGAATTGGTTTGGATCTAGGAACTGCATGCGTTGAGTGCTGGACTGACCTAGCTGTTGATAGCAACTTCGGTGGTGGCTGGACGGATAAGACCGAGGTCTGACCCCGGACTGCCAACACCCGGGGTGGTAATTCTCGAAGCCTGCTGGTAATTTTTTGCAAAATACAAAACCTGGAATCGCAGTTGGACTGCGAAAAGTGAATACGCTCAACTCTCTTCACGTGTCCATGCATGTACATAAACGTGCAGATTTGATCTTATAATATATCCTAAATCCTATGATCTTTTAAATTGATTAGATGATTCAATAAGGTATTTATTTTACTTATTTGTATTTGTTTATAAAAATCCATGAATTTTAAACCAACGTTTGAAACAAATTACTAGGCAGGGCGGCGATCTTGAATTTTATAACCATAAAATTTCGTTTTAACCGGCGCTTAAGTTACTACTGAGGAGCCCAGGATAAAATGGAAATGAAAGTAGGGTATACCCTGAAAATTAAATGAGAAGTCTGTAAGCAGTTAGATTTTATCATAGGCATAAATTCGACCAAGGATCCCACCTAATTCTTCAAATGGTCAATAAAAAGCACCGGGAGAATATCTTCTGGAAAAGACTTCTTGAGCTTTACTTAATACAAAATGTACAAAAGTTAATTTTTTCCATTTAAGTAAATCAGAGAGGTTTAAAAACTTTGTCTTTTTAATGTAAATAACAGTACTACTTATCAACGATTTTTTTTTTTTAATTAATATAACATTTCTTCTGTTTTAGGTCTGATCCGGTGACACGGCCATCGGGGAATCATACAGGTATACAAATTGTTCCCTTACATTAAAATTGCCATACTCATCGATCATTTTAAAAAAATCCATAACTTTTTTCTACCTCCAACCTTGTCCTAGACCATCAGTTTGGCTTCCGACCTCAACACTCCACTACCCAGCAAGTGTTTCCCGTCTTGGATTGCACATCCCTCGAGCACAAAGAATACAGTATGAAGTCGTTTCTTTACTTATTACAAGTGTTTGAATGCGTGTGGCCTAAAGGCGTTTTTACAAACTAAAGCACACCCTTCCTACCCAACCGAACTATTGTTCAGAGCCTGCCAAGAAACGGCCTACCCTACTTTCCCTAAGGAGTACCTTAGGGCAACATTCTTGGGCCGATACTAACCGGAGATATCCCAACTTCACCCTCCACATCCTTGCATCCTTTGCAGAAGGCACAGCTTTGCTATACTTGATCCCGATCCCACAATTGCTGCGGAGGAGCTCCAGGTACATGTCCTGCAAACAGCCGAATAGAGCAGACAATGGCGTATAGAGCTTAACAAAAATAAAATCACCCGTGTATCATTCAACCTTCGAAGCAAAACCCCTCATACATTATTCCTCAATAATACTCCCATCTCAAAAACAAACTGGGTCTGCTATCTTTGGTTCCGTCTAGATACAAGACTAACCTGAAACCAACACACAAGAATAAAACTATAGAAATTAAACAAACATTTTGGACTACTCTACAGATTATTGTCACACAAATCTAACATTCCAACAACAAAACAAGACAATACTAAAACCAATGTGTGGTGATTAGTGACCGTTAATCGATAATTATTCAGAAATCGTGAGATGCGGTCTGGTGTGATGTAGATTTCAGAAAAACATTTTCTTTATGGTGCCAACGTTTCGATCTTTATTGAGATCATCTTCAGGGCTCAAAGTGTTTGTCTTCTGTGTAATTGTGCCATCCTTGCGTGTCGTGTTGAGAGTGCCCACACGACACACAAAAATGGCACAATTACACAGAAGACAAACACTTTGAGCCCTGAAGATGATCTCAATAAAGATCGAAACGTTGGCACGATAAAGAAAATGTTTTTCTGAAACCTACATCACACCAGACCGCATCTCACGATTTCTGAATAACTAAAACCAATGTGGACGTACGGACCTGAACTGTGGGGCACCGCTAAACTTTCCAACTTCCAGAGAATTCAGTCCTTCCTAATTCCTATCCAAAATCCTCAGAACCATAGTCAATGCTCTTTACTACGTCTCCAACACCACCGTTCACATTGACCTCAAAACCCCTCTCGTGCTAAAAAATAATCCCAATATTTTTCACATTACACAATGTGACTCTCCTGTGACCAACCGTATGGTTCAATCCTTATCCAATAGAAACTACCCTTATCCGAACAAACTGAAGAGGGGATGGCCTCGCTACTAAACGAGATTTCTAGTTGGGAGAACATGGAAGATTGTTACGTCCCGTCATATAATCAATTTATGATTGTGACATTAAGGGTGTTGTAGAGAAAGCTACCATTGGCAACTTTGAATTAATAATATGGCATTAATCATTCAAGACGTCTCTTATCAATATTTTTATCAGTGGTCTACAGGATAATTGTGGGGAATGGAATAATCATATTTGTGTGTTAGTGTGATCTTGTAATTTACTGAAAAACATATACATATGTTTTGATAGATGAAAAAGCAATTGGCATGTGAAGAAATATTGTATAACGTATGATGTATCCATACAACTAAAAGATTCTCTAATTTTTTTTTAATATTTCCAACCAATATGTTCTATTTTTACTATTAAACAGTTTATTACATTTTTTTTTTTATATGACATATTTGTTTTACTATTTTCGACCACCTTCTGTGCGTGCTCCAGTTCACCCAAATGCACACTCGTTTTTCCCTTTTTTAAATAATACGAGCTTTAAGCATAAATAGGTAAATTATCTGTCATCCTCCCCTAATTTATGATTTTTTTTAAAGAGATAAATTTCTTGGGGTTAATACCCGCTTCTCTGGCTAATACTACAGTAAGAAAAACTGCTCGAGGAATTGTTTTACCTTCCTTTATCTTACAATATAATTTCCACTCTTTCAAATTAAGTGAACCTTTAAATATGTTTAAAACACTGGCACAAAACCATAAAAAAATCTTTATGTTAAAAACCCTCTCTCCCCTCTTTAATATGCTGTTTCCTTAGTAAATATCTTCTTTGCACGACACTTTTATTAAGAATACGTATATATCAATGTTAAATTGCCATATAAGTTCTTAATCTTAATTCTTCCGAAGGTGAGTTGCGGTGGATAAGGGAGTTGTCGAACATGACAAAAGAAGAAGGAGAAGGAATGAAGATGCGGTGTGAAGTTGAAGGTGACCCAAAGCCGGTTACAGTCAGATGGTTGAGAAATGAAGCCCCTATCGAAGCAGGTGCGATACGATTTTATTTACAATATTTTCGCTTGCCAATTTAATTATTACGTATAAAATCTCGACTTACAATTTTAAGGGCTCGGATTCGTTGATAGGAAAAGACTTTCAATCAGAACGTCTCAGACCGAAGGAAGAGTCAATTCGAGGCTCAGGATAGCCAGATTGGAAACTCACGATTCTGGTTTTTACACTTGTCAGGCCAAGAACGCATTGGGACTGACGTCGAGAACAACGGGGGTGTTAATGGTCAGAATGGCACCTTGGGGTAAGTCCCTTACAGCCGGCTTTACAGTATTATGAATAATAGAGCTTATTTCGTTAAAGGACATGATGTCGGGAGGTCTAGACAGTCAACATTTCCCCTTCATCCTCAACAAATTGACAGGTAAACACCAAATGATGATTTTTTAGAAAAAAAATTTTTTGTGCTAAATGGATTAATAATTTTTACTTTCCGCAAATAAAAGGCAAAAAAAGACAACGATCAACTTGCCGATGAATTTGCTAGTTGTTTATTATTTCAGTAGGTGTATCTGTTCATTGATCCTCCGGGCCGGATAGCTTCTTAAAATTTTGTCTGTTTTTTACTTGGTTGGGTACCTTCAAAATGTCCCCTGAACTTCGGTTTTGGTGAGATTCTAAACGGATTTCGCGCCTCATCGCCAAATCTCACCCTATACATTACGGACAGTTTGGATTAGACTATCTATCAAGTTAATTAACGGTGCCGTAGTACGATAAGAGCAATAAAATGTTTATGTACATCGCGTTCGACCTCTAACTTCTTTTCGATCCAGACTTCTGGTACTGACCCGCTGTACACCATGGTAGAACTCGGCACGCCCTGAACTTGGGTCTTCCCGTCGTTGGCCAAAGCATCTGCCCGGGCAAGATCTTCTCGACTTAAAACCATGCTTAATATTAATGTTGTGTTTATGTTTTAAGCCCTCTATTAATCTTAATACCTAGGAATTACCTTTACTACCTTTATTATGTAAAATAAACAACCGGATTTTTTTGTCTTTGAATGAATATACACAAACGTTAAAAAAATGTATTTTATTTATTACGATGTAGTACTTATATGACTAAACCACGTCACAACGATCCTACAGCAAGTAAGGAGATGAAGTGTTACGTAAAATAAGGACAAATTACATAATTAATTAATAATGGGACCGGAGAACAACAGCCTAGGAGATCAACAATTAGTCATGCATATTTGAATATATCATCTGAAACATTTTAAAATTGAAATTTTATGATGTTCGTGCTTAAAACATTAGGTAATGGTAATATTTTATTTTATTTATAGTTGTGGGGGAAAGAAAAACAGCATCATGAGGGCCAAAGGGGCACAAGACGCAAACTCCGAAAACACAATTATATTTAAAATAATATTATATTAATAATTAGCTTGATTGTCCAATTATGTAATAATCTGTCGAATCCATGAAAAATTTGTAATGTGCTGGGTTGATCGTGGCTGGCAGTTTATTTTGGGACACAGCACTTGGTTTTGTTGTTTATTTCTTCAATGAATATAAAATTATTTATATTTGTATCTATATTTACTTTACAAATTATAAAAACAGTGTAAAAATGTTTAAATCTATTAAAAAAAAAAGGCTGAATATGCAAGTGGTGACTTAATATGAAGTGGTGGTGGGGGGTATAACGCCCTCTAAACCTAAAGTCCCCCTGACTTAGCCTTTTGAGGTTTCCAATGTTTATAGCTTCGAATGAAAGTCGGACTTCGAATGTTTGACTGATTAAACACATTTTCTCCGTTCAAATTTCACAGTTTTTCTTAATATTCCAATGCGCTGATGACTCTAAACTGCTTAAAGATGCTCCTTTTATCGATCCTCATTATATTAATATCTCAGATCCGTCAAAGCCGTTCTCAGGGCTCAGAATCACATTCTAGGTAATACAGTTTATTTCTCTTGTCAAATAAAAGAAAATATGTATGTTCGTTTGTACTACAGTAAAGAAAATTGAATACGTCATGGCAATAAGTTCTTGTACCTTTCCAATTTAAAGATAATTAATTTCTTTCTTTTTTTTATTAATTTATTTAAAACTGAACTTTAAATATGCAACAAGCAAAATGTTGACATTATTAGTACAAGGTGTGTATACACGGATGCACAAAAGGGTGTGTAAGGTACACGACCATACAGCGATCACTTGACTACCCTTTGTCACATGTCCAACATAGTTTCAGTCTCCGACGAGAATTGGTGTGAAATGTTGCGGATGACAATTCATGGATTAAGGGGATATAATATTGTATCGGGTAATTTAGAATGAAATTTTTTGTAACTTGAATTGGGCAAGATTGGATAAGAATGGGATTTTTAAGTCGGTATGAATCGTATGGTTACTGACAGAAGGGAGCGTTAACTTTTATTCAAAGAATTGTAGGGTTTGTAGTCTTGTTAAGATTGCAACGCTTAGCGGTACAGTTCAAGTCTGTATGCCCATAGGGGGGACTAGCAGGGCAGTGTATGGTCTTTTTTTCTTTGTCAATATAAGTCTGGTTCGCTTGTCAAGTAGTGTTTTTAGCAGTCTGAATCTTCTATTTAAATTTTTACGTTTTATTCTTGTATGGGGATTCAGCACAAGTTGTTTGTCGACGTACAGTTCGAAGTATTAGATACAGTTCAGTACAGTACAGTTCACAGGAATAGGAACATTAATTTCTAAACATAAAGATTATTTCAAAAGGATTTATTCGTTTATTATATCAATTATTTTCAAGAAATTATGCAGTTTTTGTGTTTTTTCAAAAGTGGAACGCAAACAAACAACCACAGCCTATTTCTGGTCCCATGATGTTTAAAACAACCAGAATTTCCATTTTAAAGTATAGCAATGTATAGCTTAATAGAGCTTAGAATAATTTATGTTTGTTATTCGATATGTACAAATGATGGTGTGGGTTAATAAACCTATTGTTTGATATTTACCTACCATCTTGGTCTGCCTGTCCTCACTGATTTTTGTTGGTTCAGCATTTCGCTCAATTTTTGTACAATGACGATTTAGTTACGAAAATATTCCTAATAAAATCACATAAACGTTTAAAATGGTGAAATGCCAAAACACTCCTGAACCAACAAGAATCGGCGAGGACTGGCGTACCAAGTTGATAGGTAACGATCAAACAATATGTACAAATGAGTCATGGATTATCTTTTTTCTGTAGATGCTGTGTGTACTTAACTACTTGATCCTTAAATTTAACTGTAGCATTTGAATAATTTACTTTGTTATTGTAAATGTATTGATTATCCTAAGTCATAGATTATCTTTATAAACTTACAATGTTGACATTTAGGGATGAAGGTGACTGCAACGGTTTAAGCATTGACAGGGCACTCATCACTGTCCATTGGCTGTGCATTCAAACCCAACAAACTTACAAATGGGCTTCTTTTTTTTTTCTTTTTTTTCAAAAATGCCAGCACCCCGAGGGTTCATATACTTGTAGTAAAATCCCCTAACTTTAAAAACAAAAAATTAAAAAAAAAAAAAAGATATTTGTCTGATATTAATTGTCTAAACCACATCATACATCAGTTAACAACGCCAGCTCAAACCTGCATTTCCCTTTGTCAGTCATTTTCAGAAACATATGTTGAATAACTACCACTCAACATGGGTCCTTGGTAAAACAACCTGAATTTTCATTTTAAGTCAGGCTTCTGAGGCTTAATGTTAGCTCAAGCGTTATTTATGTTTTGTTATTGTAAATAGAGATATGATTATCTTTGAGTAATGGATTATCATGTGCTAATATGAAATTTATACCCACATACACTTTTACATATCATTTTTAGTATCAGAATATTAAATAACAACCAAAAACCACTTTTTGTTTTGCCTTCTTGAAAAACTAATATAGAAGTAATCATTGCTGAGAAATACTGGATATAAATTTATAACATGATTTGGATTAGAAATATATTGAGTTTTTAAGCCATGTTATTGGTGTTGAACCAGTACTGGGTCCGCCTGCACTCTTGGGTTTTGATGTTACTCAAAGGTGTTTCTGCTTTTTGCCATCTTCAGTGAGGTCTGTTTTGCCCTCAAAACAACACCCATCACCACATTATTGAGAATGCAATTTAATTTTCAAAAATATTGATTTGTATGAGTTCAAATCTGCACATGTACAGAGTTGATCCTGTCACTTATGGCAGTCCACCGGCAATTACAAGTTTTGTGATTTACAATATTTCTCTGGCAGGCCTCGCAATCACCCAGCTTTGGTGTTGGCAGTGCAGGGTCAGACCTTAACAATAAAGCCTCTAAGGTTGGGCTCTAAGAGATATCAACAGCTAGGTCATTACAGTCCCCAAGGCCATTAAAAAAAATAATAATAAATAATTAGTTAACTGTTAAATACATTCTTTCTTAGGCTCATGACATAATGGGCGTCTAAATGCCTAGACACTTAAAACCACGTCTAAACAATCACTGTTCATGTTTGATGCCATACAAGGCATCAAAACGCTCTTCTCCCAACTCAAACGTCTGGAATTCCAATTCACTCTACAGCTACCCTGGCGTCTAGATGCTCACCTGCCAACAAGAGGTGTCAAAAGTTTAGACACCTTTTCGCCTTTTCCAGCATTCACCCATTATGTCTTCACTCATTTTAATGTACCAGTCAGTGATTTTCAATTTGGACGCTGCTATTTGCGTCTAGCGTTTAGGCGCCTAGTATGTCATGAGCCTTATTTACAGACCATTCACTCACAGTGATGAATAGTCAATATACCTCCATTACTCGTTTCACTAGTCATCAGCCCACTTACACCACACATTCATGCTAATAAATGCATTCACTGTAAACACACTAGGAACACAAAACTATCATTACTAGATACAATAAAACAACCCTGTTTCCTCCATGAATCGGAACAGTGGTCCCAGATATTAGGCACAATTCTCATATCAGGTAGCATTCCTACATGCTCTCTATATGGAGCCAAGGGATTGCACCCTTAGATTAGGTGTGCATGACCTATTATTAATTGGTTGAAGATGACTTGTCTTCTAAAAGTCTGATCCTCCGAGGGCTTTCAACCAATAGTCTCCGGATGCGTGAAAGCCTCTCTGCTGATCTTGCCCACCAATGCTTCCACTTTCTTTCAATCATGTTTTTTAATGCACTTTTAGCAAGTAAATATTGTAATAGTTATTAGAAAGGAATCTCATCTGGTCAGTAAAGATGTTTAAACAAAAACATTTTCCTTTGTTACAATATTGCACATTAATTATTTATTTAGAAAGCGTGATATGCGGTCTGGTGTGATGTAGGTTTCAGAAAAACATTTTCTTTATCGTGCCAATAGGTTTTTCTGAAACCTACATCACACCAGACCGCATCTCACGATTTCTAAATAAATATCGATTAACGGTCACTAATCACCACACATTAATTATTATTAAATATTAGTTTTGTCATTAAAAAAAGTACTGTAGAACTGAATCATTAGAAATGAAGTATTTGAAAGATAAATACTTTCTTTAGTTGGTTTTTTTCTGTTTTCAGTGAAGGAATCCGAAAAGAAATGTCAGTCGGCCTAAGCTCGTCAGAAATTCGTCTTCCAGATATTGACAAAAACCGTTGTGAGGTGTGCATTACAAAACAATTTATGGACAAATTGTACCACACGATACAATTGATAGTCTTTTAAAATTATTTCTCCGTAATGGTGGAATTTAATTATTTTATTTTGTAGGAGTACAAAGGAAAACTTTGCGCATCTGTCCTAGCTAACAAAACAGTGTATATACCAGCAAGTCATACCCAGGAAGAGCTTGAACGGAAGCTTGAGTTAGCATTCGGTGTTGTTAAAAATTCAGAGTAAGTCACCCATGTTAGAAGTTAAAATAAAATTATTTCACAATTAAATATTTTCAGAGATTTGTCAAAGACTTGTGAACCTTTTGCTGTCCCAACACTCTGTTATGTCGCATTCTCAATTTGCCAAGATAGCGTTACGCAGGTTCCGAAGCAGATTTGCCGAAAGGTATTTACTTATTTAATTATATTATTGTCTTTATTATACAATGGATTACAATTTCAACAGGATTGCGAATTCTTGGAGAATGAGCTTTGTGTAAAAGAATATGCAATCGCAAAGAGGCATCCTGTCATTGGAGAACTCCAATTGCCTGTTTGTGTAGAACTTCCTATGGGGAAATCTCCAGAAGATTGCATTTCGCTTGGACTTCCGAAACCTGAACCTGTCGACCCTGGTAAACTAATTGAATTGAAATCACTACAATTTCACTCACCAATGATTGAAACTTAATATTATTCAATTTTGTTAATCAATTATTAACAATAATTCTATATTAACAGCCAAAAGTACATTGATGATCATAAAAAGATTTTCTTTCTCTAGCTGAAAGTCAGTGACTGTATTGACACGTTTACTGTTCAAAATGATTGCAGACCTTCTGTGATTAATTTCAGCCTGGGTGTTTGTTCTGTTCCAGGTGATTATTGCTATTGGGGACAAGGTGAATCTTACAGAGGTGCCATAGGGTACGGTGAGTCGGGTAACCCTTGTATACACTGGGCAGAAAATTTTCAACTTTCAATAGCCGAACACAGAGAACTACTAGGTGGCCATAGCCACTGCCGTAACCCTGGCTCACTTCATCCTCAGCCTTGGTGTTTTACCAGTCATAAAAATAAAACTATGGTCGAAATGTGTAAAATTCCAAAGTGTATAAACACTTTTAGATTGTATTTAACAGCGGTTGGTTTAGGTTTTCTCGTGCTTGTAGTTACACTTTTTATATTTTGCTGCTGTAGATCGAGGTTGCGTAAAAGAAATGAGCTTGGGCAGGACGGTATCAAAAGTGGTGTCAGATCTCCTTGTCGAAAAGCAAAAGGAAGTGGGCTTGAAATGTCCGCCCTAATACCCGGTTCCGGTGCTTCGAGCATCAAAAGTGACGCAAGGGTTAGAGTCCGAGAGTTTCATCCTGCAAATATTCGATTTGTCCAAGAGCTCGGAGAAGGGGCTTTTGGTAAAGTCTACAAGGGAGAAATTATCGGAACGGGAGAACAACCCTTAATGGTCGCTATAAAAACACTTAAAGAAAACGCATCGGCAAAAACCATGGCTGATTTTAAAAGAGAAGTAGATCTGATGTGCGAATTACGCCATGAAAATATAGTGTGTTTAATAGGGGTCTGCCTCAGTCGGGAACCTCTTAGCATGCTCTTTGAATTTATGCCAAAAGGAGATCTCCATGAATTCCTCATCGCTCATTCCCCACATTCTTCTGACAACCATCTGAGCCAAGCAGATCTTCTCACGATGGCTATTCATATAGCCGCAGGTAAGAACCGCATAATTACTTCTTCAAGTTACAAATAAACTAATTATTTATTCTCTAGGTATGGAATATCTGTGTAGCCATCATTACGTGCATAGGGATCTGGCAGCCAGGAATTGCTTAGTTGCCGAAAACCTTACTGTTAAAATATCAGATTTTGGACTTTCTAGGGATGTTTACTCTTCAGATTATTACAGGTATTTGATTATTGCAATATTCAAGTCGAAACGGATTCTAACAGAATTTAATATTTTTTACAGAGTTCAAAGCAAATCTTTACTCCCTGTACGCTGGATGCCACCAGAGTCTATATTATATGGGAAATTTACTACAGAATCTGATGTTTGGAGTTACGGGGTTGTTTTGTGGGAAATTTACAGTTTCGGACTTCAGGTAAGCATTGATATATTTTTTTATAGAAAATTTAACTCTTGGTTTAAAATTATTCAGAAATTGTGAGATGCGGTCTGGTGTGATGTATGTTTCAGAAAAACATTTTCTTTATCATGCCAACGTTTCGATTTTTATTGAGATCATCTTCAGGGCCTGGGATTTACAAACATTGTTTAAATTTAACAAATACATGTAGGATGTGGAAAAAAGTGAATTTATACAATGCAAAAAATATATACTTTTTTTTTTGTATTGTATAAATTCTCTTTATATAATAATTTATATATAATTTTATTTGTAACTACTACCTTGCTGAATATTAACAGTGGAGTCCTGCAAATCAAAATATATTTCAATATTTCAGACAATAGAGAAGAAACTTTTTAGTTTGTTTGTGTGTGTGTGTGTGTGTGTGTGTGTGTGTGTGTGTGTGTGTGTGTGTGTGTGTGTGTGTGTGTGTGTGTGTGTGTGTGTGTGTGTGTGTGTGTGCGTGCGTGCGTGCGTGCGTGCGTGCGTGTTGTTGTTGTTGTTGTTGTTGTTGTTGTTGTTGTTGTTGTTGTTGTTTCTTTCCCCCCCTCAGGAAATTTAAATGGTACTTACTCAGATAAATTGTGAAATTTCCTCTTGAGCTCTGTCGTTAACTTCAATTAAGTCTGTCAAACGTATTTCGGCTTGTAGTCATATTCACAAGTGGGTTTCAAAACAAAATTGTTATTAAAAAATGAAGATGGCTAGAAACCGAAACAAATCTTTACCAAAACAATGAGGACAGACATGACCAAATTTCACTATCACCCTTGTCCGGCTTATCTTTGAATGTTCACATGCATGAATCATGCACTGATCCAGAGTGTCTACACATTCATTTTGTAATAAACCAGACATATTTTACTGCTTGCTGTTATTCTTTTATCCAACTTTTTGCCAATTCAAACAGCACGGTCGCAATTAGTTCAGATTAGCAGGACTCTACTGTAATATTAATTATTAGAGATGTGTTTATTTTACTTTTATTTGTATTAAGCCTATTTTCAAAGGTAGACAGTTTTGTCAGATTTAAGATACTTTATGGTAGTGTTTCGGCATCCTGTTCCATAATCATGTACTTTCTCTCTAGAAAATATATAAAACAATTTTCCAGAAAGAAAGCACATGATTATGATACAGGTTGCTGAAACATTGCATACATTTAAATATCTTTAATCAATTTAAAGCTACCTTCCTAATAAAATTGGCCTAATAAAAATAAAACAAAAAACCCATATTGGAATAAATTAATAAATAATAATAATAATAAATTAATAGAAAGCCTCAAAAAAGAAGAATATTAGTGATTCATTTGAACTGTCGTGCACTTTTCTTGTCTGCACAATACAAGTAGTCTAAACAATTAATCCCATAATAATTAACTATTTGTAATTGTTAATTTACATTAATTTATATTTTTAGCCTTATTATGGTTACTCGAATCAAGAGGTGATAGAAATGATAAGGAGTAGGCAGTTGTTACCTTGCCCAGAAGACTGCCCGTCGAGGATGTATTCTGTTATGATGGAATGCTGGCACGAGGTGGCAGTGCGGCGTCCGCATTTCCCAGAAATTTGCGCAAGACTAAGATCATTCCAGTCGAGTCAAGCGATCCGTATGCCGACCGTTTACTCTCCCAGTCCGGCACACATATAATTCAGTCATTTTTAAATTGTGTGATTATCGAATTTTAATAGCTCCCGAGCGTACCAAAGACTAAATGTATTGCATAATTTTTAAGAGCAATTTTATTTATCGTTTATAAAAACGTTTTTAAAGACTTACGTTCTCTTTTTACTAGACTAGAGAAAATTAAGGAATTGATTTTTTTTAAGCTCTTCTTATCTGCTCATATCTCAGTTCTTAACAGATTTTCTGACAGGATGTTTAGCATAACTATAAAAGAACATTGTATATAAATATATGTATACATATATATATGGTATGTATGAATGTTTTTCTTGTTTTTAAGTTCTACTAGACTTCTATTAAATAGATGTAACGTATTACTTTATTTTGTTGTGATCACTTAAAAGATCAAACTATCAAGTAGAAAAAAGTTGTATAAAAAAGTAAACATTATAAATTAATATTATAAAATAAGCCATTATGTGTATATGTAAACCGGTGAATTGTATATATTATCCAAGTAGCATTAAGTTTTTATATTGAATGTTTTTATTAGCTTTTTATGTACTATTATATATGAACAAAAGATCAAAATTTTTATTGCAAGACAAAAAAAAACCAAAGTTGTAAATATTTAATTGTATTTTAAAATTATATCTAAAACAACAAAAATAATGTTTTAATAATCCTTCGTTTTAATTAATGTAAAAATTAATCAATCAATCATAATCAATAGATTGACAAATGGTCAGTGGCTGAAATGGTTAAGGGCATTGATACAGGGCTCATAGCTGTGAATTAAAGGTCCCAAGTTCAAATCCAGCAGCCCTACATTCAAACATGACATACTTACAAATTTTTGTTTTTTCTAAAAAAATACAGGTTTCCCAAGGGTTAACACGTTGATTTGGCACCTAAATATTTAATAGTGAACCACTTCGATGAGGGTGAGATAAGGCAAAAATATAATAAAATAATTAATTATAAAAAAATATATAAATTTTTGTAATAGTTTGAAATAGTTTTATTCTTCTAAGCATCATCTTGCTCATCATCTTTGTCTGACTCACTAATGAATTCAAAATCACCAAGGGTTAACACATTGATTGGGCACCTAACTATTTAATAGTGGACCACCTTGATGAGGGAGAGCTAAGGTAAAAATAAAAATAAATTATAAAAAAAATATAAATTTTTGTAATTACTAACTGGTGAAATAGTTTTATTCTTCTAAGCATCATCTTGCTCATCATCTTTGTCTGACTCACTAATGAATTCAAAATCACCAAGGGTTAACACGTTGATTGGGCACCTAACTATTTAATAGTGAACCACTTTGATGAGGGAGAGCTAAGGTAAAAATAAAAATAAATTATTTAAAAAAATATAAATTTTTGTAATTACTAACTGGTGAAAGTTTTATTCTTCTGAGCATCTCTTGCTCGTCATCATCATCTTCGTCTGACTCAATAAAGAATCATCATAGTTCCCTGCTCGGTCGTATTATTTCAAATAATATACCTTTTTAAAAAATTGTTTACCACATGAAGTTTCTTCCTTTAAAAAAAAAAAAATCGATAGATAATAAAATTAAATAGAACACTTAAAATTGGTAAAAGTTTAAAAACCACACCTTACAAAAATTATAAATTAGCTTATTTAAAAAAAAAAATAATAAACATGTACTACGCTATTTTATTTTTTTATTTTTTATTTTTTTTTCCGCTCGGAATGTGAAGGCTGGTAATTGCAATCAATACTACATATCTACATAATTATAAATGTGTGATTTGTCGCTAATAAAAATTATGGCGACAATTTTTTCCCAAAATGAACTTTAAATAAACAAATACACATGAGTAAAAATGCAAAACAGAAATTGAAAATGAGTGGTTAGCGTGAGAGACTCTCGGCTCATAGACGCCGTGGTTGTGGGTTCGATTCCCACCGTCGCCTCTGGCCCTTTTTTCACGATAACCCCCCCCCCCCAAATATGAACAAGAATTCGTCACCATGGTTAATGTGCATAGATCATAAGGCCAAAAAAAAAAAATAAAATAAAATTTTTAACTAATCTTTAAAGTTTGTTGGGCTTTTTTTATGTTGGTGTAATGAGAGAAAGTTTAGCTTTATTTTTATAAAACTTACCTTATTTTTAACTTACAATTAATTAAGGTTTTCAGTTGAGATAAAAAAGTCAATGGCACGAGCGGGATTCGAACCCACGATCTTCGGTTGTCATTTGTCGCCGAGAATCAAATAGATTACACGACATTTGAAAAATGGCAAAAAGGATGGAAAATTCAAAAGGTGGGGTTGAGATGGGAAGTTGATGTCCGAGTGGATCGAGGTCATGATAGCTCAAGTGGTAAAGCAGCGGCGTATCAAGCTGAAGATCGTGGGTTCGAATCCTGCTCGTGCCATTGACTTTTTTATCTCAACTGAAAACCTTAATTCATTGCAAGGTATTAATTGGTCAAGCAGACCACTAAACTAGTGAACTTATTTTTAACAATCTGTGAAGTGATGGTCACTTGTCAAACTGTGCACTAAAATGAATACGGTGGTGAGTGGATAATGACGAACACAGTTCAAAAGCACTCAACTAGACCTAAGCATAGAAATAAAAGGGAATTCATAAAAACCCGGAGCCACCATGACAAAACTAAAATAAAAAGAGGGACACCAGCGCCAGGTTCTTGAACAACCAAGCGCCAATTGTGAGGCTGAAAGTGTTAATTTACAAACAAAAAAATTTTTTCTGTAATTGATAAAATACTAATAAAAAAATGTAATGGTTTCCACTGATTGAACTCCACCAGGCCTTTTCCAAGATGGAGAATGTCTCTCGCCCATCTTGCCTGATTCTGTCCGCTCCCTAGGTCCCGACATGTTAGACCCTTCGAAACACCATAAAACATATTTTCAACCCCTAACATTAAAATTACTATTTTTCCAATTTTTGGGGGCATGAAGTCTAAAAATCGAGGAAAAGTCAGGTCGTGACAGTTTTAAGTACACTTTTGGCAATAAAACAAGTTTATTGAACTAGTTTCTTTATTTTAAATCTTGTTATTTTCTAAATCTATTTAATTACAGCATGATTTTTAAATTGGTTATTATATTATTAAAGGGACATATAATGTGTTACAAGAACAAGATTTGAACAAATATTTTTTCATAAAATTAAATTTTACATAAAATGTCAACAAATTGATAGCTTACTAGCTTAATAAACAACAATTAAATACCTATTTAACAATGTTAATATATACAGTTGTCTTTTTATTATATTTATTTATAATTAATTATTCATGCGTTTCATATTGATGAAATTTATTTACAAAAAAAACAGTGTAATTTCAAAGCGAAGCTTTTCTTCCGTATCACCTACCTATTATGTTTTAACAAATAATTAGACATTTAAAAAATATATGTGTTTAATAGTTAACTCTATAAAACAAATTTTCCAAATATTATAATACCATCAGTTCTGTATCATTTAGCCTTAATACTTCAGACCTCTTAGTAAAAGCACATGGTTAAAGGGAAAGTACATGTAACAAATCAAAAAGTGTTTTACCAAAAAGAAAGACAAAAAGGGAAGTTTTAACTAAAATATATGTTTCCATTTACAGAGAAAATAATTAACAGGTATAAGGAAGTTTGTTGCTCAGTGAAGATTGTTAACTAATGGCAATGCATCAACAAAATTTTGGTAATACGTTTTACAACATTTGGCATAAATTTAAAGATGAGTCGGTTGTTTAACTAACGACAAACTTAATTAAACTATTTGACAAATGTTATAAACAAAAATTTCTCACATAGAAAAGGCAACGATGTGAATATCTTAACAATTTGCAGTCAGACATTGCTTTTATTTTCTTTTAAGAGTGTGCATTTTAAGCTTTAAGCTTACTATTAATTATGCGTTATTTCAATTTGCTAATTAAGCAGAAAACCTTTTCAAGTTTTTTAGTTTAATTTGTTGATCCCTACACTAGCAAGGACAAAACCCACACTGAAAAAATAAAATATAATTGAAAATTAACTTCTTTTTTTATGTTAAATAATTAATGTCTAATTCAATCGTCAAGTTTACCATATATTCCCGACTAACAGGTACTTCCTTCAATTAAAAAATTAACATTACATAAATAACATTCATCTAAATTATCTAGTTTTAACAATCGTAATAAGTAGGCCGTTCTTATTACAATTTACCTAACTGAGATCGAACAACCAATTAGAAGGTAAATTTCAAAGTCCAGATATAACAATGATTTGTCACTGAAGCTATAAAGAATAATTTGACACACAAATAATTATAACAATTAAGTATGACAATTAATTACTTGTATTAATTGACGATACATCATGCCAAGCAACAATAACAAATATATTTTTAAAATGTTTATAATATAAAACAAGATGATCAAAGTATTTTATTTTCTGATTTGCCAGAAACGGTTTTATATGATTGTAAACATTTGGAATGAATGGAAATAGATAATATATATTAAAATTCATTATTAATGACAAATTACAATTATCATTTTTTACAAATTATATTAACTTTTCATTTTTTTTTTTTTATTATTACATTGTTACAGTATATTAAATATACTCTTGCATAATGAAATATTGACTTAGAAAGTCATTTTTGATTTTTTTTTACATTTAGTCACTTTGGGAATGTGTGTTTTAATTATGTGTAGATTCATTCATAACAAAATTATTCGACGTTTCATTCTCACAATAAATAAAGAAAAACTAAGATATAATCACAATCAGAAATCACATACAAAAATTTTCCTTTTTTTTACAGAATTAGATTGCTTAAAATTCAAATATAAGTTCTGTATTTGTTTATTCTAAATTCAAAAGAGAAAAGAGTATATGTTTGATTTTATAGTGATAAGTAAAATAAGAAATTTTTTTAATTGATTTGATTTATTTTTAAATTCTGCTTATTAGTTTCGTCACAAACCATAAGCACAAAGAGTCAAATGCTCTAAACATTTGGCCACTTTTTTTTCTTTTTAATAATGTAATTCTTGACCATTTCACTGTTCAACCAGGCCCTCGCATTGTGGACATCATTGCATCCTTTCTTGAGAAGAAAGAATATCCCTTGGTATTCTGTCGAACGAGTTTGGCCCCTGGGGGGGCATCCCCTCTACACACTTCTTCATTCTTAAATCCTACCTGGCCGACAGGTCCTCATAAACAAACTCTCCTTTTTCTATGATGAACGCAGTAGTCCCCTAGGTCCTAGGGCCACTATTGTACTCAGAATATACTATCACTTCCCACCCCGACACCACTATCCTAACATACTCTGATGATACGGCCATTCTAGCTTCTAAATCCACAAAGTCCCAATCCATAGCCTCTTAACATCTGAAAATGTCAATGAATACTTACGACTCACCTGGAATCCATATGCATGACTTAAAAGGATAGAACTGAACCGACGATACATATTTATTAAAAGACTACTAGCAGCAAATCTAAACTCCCCCTTGACAACAAAATATTCAAACACAACTCAAACTGAAACCAATATGTAGAACTATAGGGTTTAATCAAACCTTCCGATCACCTGAGAATCCAGGCCCAACAATCACAAATCCTTAGATCAATCATCAAACTGCCGCATTCTACATTTTCACCGCATCATCCTAACGTCTTAAATGTTCACTTTTTAAACAAAGTTGCCAAATCCAGCTACAAAAAATTCCACACTAACCTCCAATCCCCCTTAACTCGATTTAAAAAAAAAAACAGGCCCAGAGAGTTGCTCACCGAGAATGTGAACGATTAAACTGAATAAATTATTTAAGAGAGCTATCACTGGATAGCTTCTCCACTCGATGTATTTTTGGTTTTTTTTTTTTTTTTTTTTTCTTTTTTTATATTATCTCGTTATCCATGTCATTTATTGCACTTTGTGCACTCGATTACTCAATTAAAATAAAATAAAAAGTGCAGACTTACGACAAACAATCACTTGGTTGAAGGTCAACCATACATTTATTAACTGTCTATCAAGCATAAGCATAATATACAGCAGTAAATTTTATTTTATTTAATTTTTGTTTAAATATTATGAAGATTACATCATTCTTGTATATAAAACAAAATACATGTTTAAGAATGAGAATTTAAAGAATGCAAACTGCGTATTAACACATCTCATCATACAGACAACTCTTACTTCAGGACCAATGACTTTTGCCTTTTTTTCTTTTTTTTTTCAAATATCTTAGGTATAGTATTTATGGTATTTTATCATAATTAAATCGAAAGAGCACATAAATTAATTTAAAAATACATAGAAGAGTTATCTATTTAGTAATAACATAAAATAAATATAGTAATGTTGTTTCATTAAAAAAAATATATATATGTACTTAACATAAATCTAGTTCATCGTCGTCATCTTTTGTTTCTTCAGTAGGTTTAGAGTCTTGCACTTTAGTAGCATTAGGTGAGACGTATGAAGGTGCTGCATTTGGCCGTACGGCTGCCTGCGGTCCTTTAGGGATTGAAGGTTTCGGTAAAGGAAGGTCACGTGCAAGACGGGAATACTCAACATCCATGTGCTTTATAAACGGACTGTTTAAAGCCCTCTTCGCATCGTCTGGATCCTCTTCGTCGAAGGCTTGCAACAATAATTCCAACGTTTGCACCTGTAAAGAAATTTCCGTTACGACTAAACTTTATTAATTCAAATGTTACATTAATTTTTTTAATAAAAGTGTCACATAGTACAGTAAAACTGTTAAGAGTTTTATAAGTACCAGCTAACCAGAAAAGTTCATGTGGTTTTTCATTTGTTATTATTTTAATACCATTAGTCGACATTTCTATTTATTGTACTTAGGATTGGAAGTTTACATCATGTAATACCTACAGGACAAAGCGTCAGTTCATAAAGAAAAAATGTCTTGAACAGTTAATTATAAAATATTTTCTTTCTCATGCTGGAAAACCCATAATTTGTACTATTGTGGCCGAGGCATCTTGTTGCTAAAAAGTGATTCAGAAAGTTCAACGGGATTGTATTCAAAGACATAGGCTTGCAAAAAATTTAATCAAATGACCATCACAGAAACTAACAGCAGCTAAACCTAGGATATGTTAGGGCTAGGATTGCAAACTCTGGAGATAGTAGAGACTCAGGGCAGCGGAAACAAGCCTGAAGAGACAGAAAGAACAAGGAAGAACAGAACTTCTGTTGGTGTGAAGGTCAATCCAAATTGAGATTTATACTTCTGGGCCCATTTCATAATGCTGCTAATATTAACTAAAATTATTCAGAAATCGTGAGATGCGGTCTGGTGTGATGTAGGTTTCAGAAAAACATTTTCTTTATCGTGCCAACGTTTCGATCTTTATTGAGATCATCTTCAGGGCCTGGGATTTACAAACATTGTTTACATTTAACAAATACATGTAGGATGTGGAAAAAAGTGAATTTATACAATGCAAAATATTCAAATTATGTATTTGTTAAATGTAAACATGTTTGTAAATCCCAGGCCCTGAAGATGATCTCAATAAAGATCGAAACGTTGGCACGATAAAGAAAATGTTTTTCTGAAACATCACACCAGACCGCATCTCACGATTTCTGAATAATTATCGACTAACGGTCACTAATCACCAAACATTAACTGAAATATACAAAGTACAAGCACTAATGCTTTCTGTTTCATAATACTACCCTCCTGCCTCACTAATACTACAAGTGATCCAAGCAAAAAACTACAAAAGTACAAGTCAGCTGTATAGTAAAGGGAAACCGGGCATGAAACACAATTGCGGTTAGTGGTTAAGTTGGTTAGTGAATCGAACAGCTGTTACTGCTTATTATTGTCCATTTATAGAAAAGTTATTATAGCTATTTAACTATTAAAAATGAGCAAAGTGATGGACGGCAGAAAGGCACAACTTTGTCCTGTCGATAATTTAAAAATAAATACTGTTCAGGGAATTTAGCTACAAGTTAACAAAGCTTGACAAAATGGAAGTGCATGTTGGGACCTTCGCTAAGTCCATTGGATGGTTCTTCCTGACAAAGAGGGGATGTATATTAGAGAAATTGGTGGCCAAACATCAAAAAGTTTGGTAAGTTAATTACAATCTCGTCTGTTTAAAACCGAACAATTTACAATTAATTATGTCATGCTGGCATAATATAAGTGGTATTCTTATCTAAGATGAGTTTTGAGAGAATTAAATCTATGAAAAATTGACCTTATTTTTTTCATTTTAGAAAAATGTTTTGGTTGCCAAAACTACCGGTGAAGAAAGAGGAAAAAAGAAAATTCTTAGTGACCGATGACGCAGTTCTTGATATTAAGTTAAGAATCACCAACAGTTGTTGGAAGTAGACATTCAAATTGAAACATGCACGGAAAAAAATGAAAATTTGCACAGGAAAACAAGCAGGCTAAACAAAAGCGTCCAATAAATGAAGTACCGACCATATTTGCTCGATTACAAATTGCCTTGATCTTGAAATTAAATTGAATAAACATAGCTTATTGCATTGTTTTAACATTAACGTCTGCTAAATTTTCCTTTTCTGGAGGAACTGTCTTCTCATTTCTTTATTTGTGCCTAATGAGCCTAAAGAATATTATTTTTTTAAGAATAAATGAAGGTGAAGAAAGGAGACAACCTTCAAAACTCTTAGAACTGGAAATATAAAAAATATTGGAAATTAGAACTTTAATTGGGCAATCCTTTCAGTAGATACATGAGCAAGATTCAAGAATCAGTAGTAATTATAAATTATTCTTTTTATGTAAGGTCTAGGTTGAGATAAAAAAGGCAGTGTCACGAGAGGGATTCGAACCCACGACCTTCGGCTCAATACACCGCTGCTTTACCACTTGAGCTATCGTGTCTTCGATTCTATCTGACACCAACTCTCATCTCAACGTACAACCGTTCGAATTTTCCCTCTTTTTGCCATTTTCAATTAATTTAAATATATGGCAGCAAACTTTCAAATTGTTGCCAAACCCTTACTGCTTGAATGTCCCATCGTTCAATGCAAGACAATTGGAAAAGGAAGACGCTCTGTGAGGAATGGTGGGGTTTCAAGCGATAAGGAGAAAGGACGAGAGAATATGCCTGTAAGAGTCTGTGCAAACCAGAAAAAGAAGAAGTTTGTAAATTAGTTTCTTTATGTACGAATTATAATATTTTCAATATTTTTACAAGCTCATAGTTTTGGCCAAAATAAGATTAGTTTAGGGGGACCGTGGTAGCCGAGTGGTTAGCATGAGAGACTCTCACGCCGCGGTCGTGGGTTCGATTCCCACCGTTGCCTCTGGCTCTTTTTTCCCGATAACCCCCAATTTGAACAACATATATAAGAATTCTTCATGGCTAATATGCAAAGATCATAAGGCAAAAAAAAAAGATTAGTTTATTATTTTATTTTGTATTCAAATAAATAGAGGTTAGGATTAGTTTATATTTTTATTATTTTATTTTGTATTCAAATAGAGGTTACCTGTTTTTTGTTTTTTTTTAATTAATTAAAATATATTTGAGTTTACTAATTAGGAAAGTATTTGTTCATTTGTTTAATTTTTTTATTATAGAAAGAATTGTTCAATAAATAGGTTTATAGTGGAATTTATTTTATTTAATTTACCCTAACATAATAAATAATTAAATGAAAGAAGTAACTTAGTCAATTGACCACTAAAATATAAATGGATTAATAAGTAATTATAAAGATTTTTTTTAAAAAGATATAAAAATAAAATCTTATTAAATATTAATCCATTTACATTTTAGTGGTCAATTGATCAAGTTGCTTCTTTCAATTAATTATTCTTTTTATGTAAGGTCTTGGTTGAGATAAATAAAACCCTATGTAACAATTTTATAAACAATTCATTCTTAACTGAAATACAAAATTAAAATAAAATCGTTTTACACCATCAAATTTATTATTTCCGCCTAAGTTTTGCCGTAATTTCAGTATTTTTTTCTAATTCCTCTTCATCTTCATTGTAAGCTCGATACCAAATCATCACTTAAAAGTAAATCTAGCATTGCACAGAAATGCAGGAGCAAAGTAATTTAACACGTGGAAGTTTGCGCTAATATTTCGATAATAAAGATGGGTATTTTACAAATATTTGTATTAGTGACTGTTTATGAAAAGGAATTCCTTGTACTTTAAATAATTTTTCTTATACTTTCAACTTTAAAACTTGTATATTGTAGTTTTGTATTTTTATTTTTTTTTTATTATTATGAAGCATAATTGTACAAATTACAAGCTACTACGCTATAGTAGTAGTTTGTATTTCATTATGAAATAGGGCCCTGGAATAGGTAAAGCAAACACAGGAGACCCTAACAGAGCTTTGTAGTATGATATAAAGCCTTGACCAATGTTGGCCAAGGTGCATAAGGTCGTGAAAGGCTGACTCCTAACCTTAACCCTTAAACCTCCTACCTCGTGGTATCCTCACCATACCCCATATTTTAGAACCTTCGTATTTCGTGAAGAAAATATCACAAAGGAAGAAAATTGTTTGTTCTGAAATTGGATTTATTATTAGTTGGTTAGGCTGTCCTGACTTTTGTTTGTCGCTTCACCTCATGTTACAGGATCCATTTGTAAAAAGAAAGTTGTCTACTTTTCCCCGTAAAAACAATGAAAGGAAAATGTTTAAACGCAGAAGCTTGTTACCATTAGTCAATTTATGAGGAACCGATTTTCTCAGCGTCCATTTCTTCCCGAACTAATAAATAAAGTTAGAGTGAATGGTTTCATCTCTTACGTTAAACACTCTGGCAAGCTCCTCCAACACAAACTCGAATCATCTAATCCTCCTATGTAAATAGACATGCTGATTAAAGGTATTAAAACAATGACAAATGAAAAAAACGGCACTAACTTTTTTGGTTACCTGGTATTTAAAAATTGTTGTCAGTTAGTAATAAAGATAGTAATAAACAACCTCAGGAGCATCACAACAATTGCCCCATTCTTTGAAAGCCTTCTCAGCCGCAACAGTGTCACCCCTCGCCAACTGGACTAACACTAGTACGACGGCCAATCTACCGATAGCTGCAAGATTCTCGGACAGTTGGTGTAGTCCGATTTCCCTTCGGATAGCATCTGCTGCTTGATCATACCTGTCGACATGATTTAATATATCATAAATGAAATAAATTTTAAATTAAATTTCAGACTCACATATGAAGCTTCACTAAAATACGAGCTGTTTTACTAACATATTCTGCAGCCTGCCGTGGACTATCCTCATTCTAGAGAAAATATCAATGTTAGCAACTAAGTATTTATATGAAAGCCCTATTTTAATAGAAGTTGGAGTAATGAATTAAATATAATAAAAAAATTATGAAAAAAGATAATAAAATAAGTTGAAAATAATTATTAAAATAGGGCTATACTGTAAAAAATAAAAAAGGTAGGCTGTAAATCTGAATTTTCGCCAACCCAATAGAGAACAAAGGATTTCCCAAAATTCTGAAGGGTGTAGAGACAAGCGAATGGCAAATAATAAAAATAAAATAAAAAACATAAGAGTTATATATTAAGGGAAAGTTGTCACAACATGGACAGGGCTCATCAAGTTGAAAGTCCCCATAAAGTTGGGATTGTGTCTGTCGGATGGGCTCTGCAAGCCTTAAACCGTAAGGCCATTGACAAAAGGGGCTGCGTAACAGAAGCTCCCTAGAAATACAAAATGGACAGGCAGGTCATGACGAACAATAAGAAAGGCACTGACCATCACGCCCAACGGATTTTGCTTTCCCTTCGCTCCTCCCTTGCAGGGAAGCTAATAAAAAAAGTAAAATTGAAAAAGCAAAAGAGAAGCTGTGTCGGACTCACTAGGTCAGACATGAAGTCAGCGAGACATGAAGTCGACTGTCAAGGGCCGAGACGATTCGAATAGTCAAGTCGTGTCAACCGTTGTGGCTACCGACACCCAATATAAAATAGATAAAAGTGTATAAAACCAGTTTACTTCAATATAACAAGGAACACAGGTAGTCTAGAGCTGGATTGTAACAACTCCCCAGTAGCCAACAAATTTAAACATTGGTGAGCGTGACACACAATAATTATACAAAAGAAATCCAATCCAGAATTTTAATGTTTTAAAAAATCTTTTTAAAAAGATAGTTCCTACTCACATTCAACAATCTGGATTGCAAGCATATAGGTCAACAGGTTGAAGAAATTTACAATCTTTTTAAAGTCAATCTTTTTAAAAAGATAGTTCCTACTCACAGTTAGTTGTAATAAATGTTAGTTGTTTCTGCTCTAATAGATCAACTGTTACTAACCTCTCACATTTCAAAATTACATCTTAGATGCAATAAACTCTGGACACCAAGTAGACTCAGTGTATACTGACTTTTCTANTTATTACCATGTATATACGTCCTTATTCTTTTTATATATATTATTTGTATTTTTACATATATTATTATATTTTTTGTTATTGTAAAATGTCTTTTTTATAGTGGATTTCGATCCGTAAATAAATAAATAATTGGGTGAATTTTAATATTATACGGTTATTAACTGTCTGTTGGTAGCAGCTTTATAATATTGCATTTCTAATGTCAAAAAGTTCAATGACTGCTGAACAGAAGAACTGCTTGTTTAAAACTAATTAAAACATAACTAGCAATTATAATATAAAATAACTTAACACACAAAGTTAAAAGTTATTTTATACAACAAAATTGTTTGAAGTAGCAACATTTGGCAAAAATTCAGTAATTTCGTGGTCCGCTTGACCAATTAATACATTACAATTAATTAAGGTTTTTAGTTGAGATGAAAAAAAGTTAATGGCACAAGCAGGATTCAAACCCAAGATCTTCGGCTAGATACGCCGCTGCTCTACACTTGAGCTATCGTGACCTCGATCCACTCGACATCAACTACCTATCTCAACCCCACCTTATGAGTTTTCCCTCCTTTTTGCCATTTGGCAAAAACTTTTGCCTTCATCAATGGCAGGTTTGACAAGATGGTTGTACAGAATCGAGTTGTACAAAATGAGAACTTACTGTGACAATATCGGCAGCTTTCTGATACAGTCTCAGAGCCTGCTCAGGTTGAGTTGGCTCGATTATTTTACAGGCTTTGTCAAGGACACCTGCAGCTGCATCATAATTCCCCTGTTGTTGATAGAAATGCGCAGCCCTCTCTGCCATCTGGGTTACATCACGTAAATCTCCAATATCTTTACAAACCAATATGGCCTGTTCCAAACTCCTGTGGGACAAGAAAAAAATGATAAGCGAATATGTCTATATTAAAAGATCTAGTAAAAAATGTCTCACCTGGCTGCATAAAAAAACCTATAAATTAGCTAAGGAAAATAATTAAAAATTGAATTATGTACAATTTGTAATATAGCATGAACAAAGGATACGATCTATTTTGCTTATGTGCCTCGGCAGCTTTCAGATGGCACTCTTTACACTGCTCGTATGATTTACCCAGTTTGAAGCAGGTAGCTGGAATAGAAATGCATTTGTTATAAATTGAATTAAAAGAAAACTTCATACTACAGATACATACCTGCCTTTGTAAACTCACCAGCAGCCACTTCATAATCCGGTCTCCATTTAAGTAAGGTAGTCTTTAAGCTGGAAACAAACAAAAATTATGTAATCATTGTGTAAAATACACTAATTCTTCCCAGTCTATGCAAAATGGGAATAAATATCCACAAAAAGCATGTTAGGTGTAAGAAAATTTTATTCCAAATGATGGTGTATCCGCAAAATTTTCTGGATTATTGCACAACAAACAAAATGTCACAGGATATTTTTTCATTGAAGACATTGTCCCATTGGGTTAGTTAAATATGTGGAAGGTGAAGTATGTATGAAAATGTTTGAAGTTACAGCCATTAGTAAATTTCAGTTTGAGAAATGTGGTACTGTCATAACTGAAAGCAGTAAGTGTTTACACCGGTGTAACCATTTTTATTTAGCACTGTGATTGTTATTGTTCATGATTAAAGGCTTTCTACGGAAGCATTCTGTGGGTAATTTTGGTAATAAACATTTTATAAATCTGAGAAGAAAAGACTAGAGGGAGAAAGAAGTTTCACTTTTTTAGTTTCTTTTAAGTAAATTCAAATATCTCTTCTCATCTTTTCCAAGTTTTCCATTACTTTCTTTCAACAAGTATATACAAATAGAAATTCTTCCAGCCATCATCAAGTAAGTAACTTATTTCATCCACATCTAAGTTCACACAAACATATTTTAGTTCAGCTATCCACTGGTACATTTACTTCAATATGACATCTCTGCTCTTCATATGTAAGCCGGTCCCCGTCTTAGCGATAAGTTTAAATTGTTAAAATAAGAACAAAATAGGGTAAACGATGAAAAGGGACAAAGGTTGTACTCTGAAGGGGCGACCACCCAGACAGGAACGACGTGACACATCTGGCAAATGTAGCCTGGAAATGGTTACCCAGGTAAGACAGTCGAAGTGAGTGGCAGACCCAGGCTGGACCCACGTTTTGTTTCCCACGAACCTGGAGAACATAAAATAGCAATAGCGACAGACCACCGTCTTTGCCGGCCCACCCGCAGCGTGAGATCTCCCCCGACTTTTGAGTTTCCTTTCCACCCCTACTCCGGGAGAGACCCGGTATAAAAGGGATGACTGGAAAATCAAAAGGCAGTCAAGATACAAGACTCACCCCAGTCAGTCAAAATCCGAGACTCACCCCAGTCAGTCAAAATCCGAGACTCACCCCAGTCAGTCAAAATCCGAGACTCACCCCAGGCAGTCGAGACCAAGGACCGGGAGAGAAGCAGCTACACTCCGTCTGGGATTCAAGATGACTCAGTCAGCCAGAGCCAGCGAGGATCTGCCGTTGCGACCAATCGAGCCAAGTCAGAGGTTGAGAGAAGAGATGTTGTGGACACTGATCGTTCATTGTTTGGGGTAAGTCCCTTTGTTGATAGGCTTATCCCAGATTAATTAAGATTCTGTGGTTTGCGTACCATTAAGAGACGGAATTGGGTACAATAAATGGTACTGAATATGCTCTCTGGTTTATTGAATTCTGGAACCTTACCTTCCCCTACACAAGAATAAGTAGCGACGCGCTTTTGCCAGTTAATCTCTTGTCGCTTAGAGAAAAGCAAGCAAATATTGAGAGATTATTCAACCGCCGCGCCATCGTCCACTTACACATGTATCAAAATTGGTTTTTAATTTTCTATATATATTATCTTAAATACATGTTTAAATATTTTTAGTAAAATTTGGCTATGTCTGAGTTTTTCTTTCTCAAGCCATTTTTCCAGTTACAACTTTAGCGCACATTCTGGTGAGTTGTGATTCTGGTCCCATGAGGGCTGATCCTTTTTTTTTTTTTTTTTTTTTGTCAAGTTTATACCGTATAGTGTACATTTTAAAGTTCTACGAGGGGTTCAAAAACCAACCCCGCTTCCTAGTAGAGAACCTCAGGAAACGGTCATCGCCAGCCTGACAGGAGGATTCATATTGATCCTCCACGGCATGGCACGGTGTGAAAGGCTCTGGTGTCCTACCCCTAAAGAGCGGTATTCAACTTCCCAAACCACTCCTCACAAAATCCTACCATCAACCTCTCTTCTACTCTATCCCATTATCCCTCCTAGAGTCTTGAGCTAGAGAGAAAACAACATCCACTCTAATCACAGGTGCTATGCGAACTGTGTCGAGTGATTCATTAGCAGCCGGGGGTTCCTGTCTTGATCGGAGCCTCTCTGACACCAGGCGACATCAAAGAGTAATTAGCCTTTTAATCTTATTCCATCATGCGGGGCTCTGATGGAATGGACCTATCCCTAGCTGCTCATGGAAATCTTATGAGTAGAGAAAAAGAAAATCAAATAAACCTGAAGCAGGACATCACTGCTTCAAAAACGTATAGTAATCTGGAGGCTAGCATCCACGTGGACGTTCAGTCAACAGGAGAAAAGGAGAGACTACCTCTCCTTACAAAAAAAAACAGCAGACTCCACGTGGGAAACCAATCACCACACATAATAATTCAAAGATGGTGTTGAGCTGCAAAACAAAATTAAACTTATTAAGTCGCAGAACAAAGTCAGCCTCTGCTGGGACCCAGGGTACATGGGAGAAGGCAACGAGAATGCAGACAACCTTGCAAGGCAAGGAGCTGCTACACCGCTGACAGGACCCGAACCCTGTTACGTTCGTAACATAGTATGGGTGTATTGTTGTTGTTTGGCCAGGGATGCCTCCTGAATTGTAATGCCACCTAAACTAAAATTGGCGGTGGGTTCATCAAAATTAAGACGGCCTAGGATAGGCTTATGAGAGAGTAGAGGAGTGAAGAAAAGAGAGGACAGTGTGCGTCGAGACGGATATCCCTACGGCCTGGCCGGATCAAATAAAATCATCAATTCCTTGATCAACGAAGGCGATCGCGGACCCACTCAATTTCAGAGAAGGTGCTCCACATTCCTAGAAGCGGGGATTTTCAATCGCTTGGAAAAGAAGCATATCTGGACACTGGTTCCCAGGAAAGTTTAGTTTTTAAGAAATGTTTATTTAGATTTTATGTTAATTTAGGTTCATTTAGTGTGTAAGTTTGTTAAAATGTTACCCGTAGAGAATTGAGATTAATCTATGTTTAATATTTTAGTTTCCCTTGGAATAAATGTTTTTTTTTCCTTATTGTGTTCTTTTTTTGTGTTAATTTTACTGTTATTGCATTTTCTTTGTTTTATTTATTTTTTTTTTTTTTTTTACGGTTCGCTGTTTCCGTGTATATAAACAGCGTGGCGCCCATTTTTTAAAATTTATATTAAGTTCAATATTCTTAATTCATTAAGTAACCCTGCCCGTCTCCATGGAGCGAAGCCGGCAAATTCTCGGCGTAAGAACCCTTCTGTGGCATAGGAACCCACACTATCAATGAGTATCTCAGACAGAAGGACAACGAGAAAATGAAGGAACAATGGAATTCACTCATTGGACACAGGCAATCCAAGAATCTCTTAACAAATTTCAGAGGAAAAGAAATTACTGAATGTGTCAAAGTAAGCAGGAATAAACTGCGAATCCTAATAGGATTCCTAACAGGACACTGCAAGCTAAATGGACAGTTAAAGAAGAGTGGAATAATCCAAGACGGCACATGCAGATTCTGCAAAAAGGCAGAGGAGACACCAACACACCTACATACAAGCTGTGTTTTTACACTTGCCCGCAGGAGGAACAGCTTTGGGATGTACAATGTGACCGTAGAAGCGATTCAACCATTGAAACCTAAAAATCAAGTTCCTTGATGAAATAGGACTCACCAGTGTGCTTTAGGCAGACATCTAACGTTCTACAAATTTCTTCGGGTAATAATTGGTCGTTGCATAGCAAACAAAACGTCCCAGGATGACATTGAATTTTATTGAATATAATACCTTTAAATAATTGTTTTAATAAAACTCGACAAGCTAGTAATGTGCATTTGATAAGAGTGTGAAGTTGCACAATTTGTGTTGGTCGATTAACAAATCGACACGGTATATAATTTAAAATGCAGACTTTTACCTCTTTTCGGCCGATTTGACTAATTCGAGGCCTTCCTCGATTTTCTTCGTGTCACCCATCATCCTGGATCGGTATCCTGCTCACTGATGATTTTCCTCGAAAGTCTTCACTTTGGACAACTTGGAGAACCGACGCTGTCAAAAGAAACGGAAAAGTTCCGACTGCCCTGCTGATCACTGTCGGATGAGAGTACGGCCTGATTGTTTTTATTGTTTTATTTTTATTTTTGTTTTATGTTAAACGGGTTTATCTCAGCTTGATCTTTCCAGTTTCCACAGAGTCTTCACCGCTTCAGGCTTCACCTTCACCAATCGATGAAAATACCCACGGAACATTATCGAATTCATCTCATTCGATACGAGAATTCAATAACTTGAAAACATAGAGCAACGATTAAGGAAACTTTTATTTTCATTTAATCAAAAAACTCTTTTGTAATAAATAAATCTACTTTTAGTTTAAGAAAACCACCACATAACACTTTCAGTCGGGTGTACATTCATGTTCTTCATCTTGATTTAAGATCCCTATCTTCATTTTCGTCACATTCAGGGTTAGGAGAAGAATTCAGATCATTACAATGATACGGTATACAAATGGCTCCAAAATACACTGATTAGGCGTTTTTTGTACAAGCCCAAAACATGAGCAATCATACTCATTAGGGGGGCATCATAGTACATCTCGGTCCTCCAAGCTGATATACATACCACCTAGAAAATCTAAAAGTTGGGTACATTGGCAAAAAATCCTCACATCGGATAGCCAAGAAGCTATTAAAGCATTATCATGTAAAAAAACACATCAGTGAATGCATCCAAAATATCCAAAACTTGGGGAAACACAACTTCACACTGACAAGAGAATGATCTGCAAGACCATACATAGCCCCTGAATACTTGTGGAACAACAAACACAGAATCCTCCCCACAGAATGACTCCAAAAAAAAGCAAAAGGAGAAGTGGAAGTACAGAGACAGGTAGACAACTAAGCCTCACTTAACCTGCTACAGTTTGAGTCGGAAAACTCAGAGGAGTGATAAGACTATATTCCGGTCACTGGCATCTGGACAAACATCAGGCATATTCAATGCCGACTTCGTTTGTAGATTATGCAATGAAGAGGAAGAACATATCATGTTCAAATGTGAAGCAATCGCTCAATGAAGACATAACCTGAGATACAAAGAAAACACAGGAAAAGGAATTGTACAGTACAACAGCCAATGATCTAGTACTTCTTAAGAGAAGGATCGAGTCAATTGCACTGAATCAAGGAACAAATAATAAGGAACTAGTAAAGTACAATAAGCCAGAAGGCTGCAGTGCTTGGGGAACAAAAACCCTCCTTCTCATCATAATCATCAGGGTCTTAACTAACATTATAGCACTTTATAAAACCGAAAGGCAAAAGAAGCAGCGAGAAATGAGGCCTTAACAGAAGCTTTCAACCTGGCACTGGTATCACATGTACTAAGAACAACCAGAGAAAACTTCAACTAGAATGGGATTATGGCATCACACCAAAAAATTTTATCCAACAATATCACAACTTAGAATAGAGATCAAACGCTCATATAAAACCACAGATTTTCTCTGGAAAAAATAAAGCACACCTAAAAAAGGTTCAAAATCGAGGATGACTCTTGCGGATGCGCACGGGGCAGAGGCCAAAATTGTGAATGTTATCTTGGACTGTACCAAGTTTGACAAGGAACAATCTGATTTGATGCAATAGTATTACAAGGAGGATAATGGCCACCAACATTTTTAGAATTAATTAATACATTTAAAAAAGAATTTTTTTCATTTATTAAACAACTCAACTTTGATTTAATTTAAAATATTCAAGATATAATAATGTTTCTACACAGTTGGCTGTCACAGATGATCAGAACTAGTTTTTAAAATACCAAATACTATGCCAAGACCCAACCCAAAACATAAATACTAGAAAAAGCACGCTCTAACCTCTTGGCCACTACTGTCTATTAAAACTATTTGGTCAGACAAGACAACGCTAAATGCTTTCCTTCCATATGTTATCATTTTAATGGTAAATATTAACTAGATGTGATTGATATCAATCTTTAAAGGCTAATTTGAAAGAAAGGAAAACACTCAGTTCCTTTGTCAACCTTTTGAAGGATATATCCTCTTCATCAGTGAATTGATTTCTATTGATTTACATGGTTAAAAAATATAACCATTCTTAATAAATGAAAACCACTCGTTCATTCTACTAAGCCGTTGATCTGATCCACCCTACTAACCTCTCATAAACTCAGCTAATTATATTGGTTAATTATGTAAATCAGTAAAAATAGTTTCAAAGTCCTGTTGAAGGGAATGTATTCATTGAAAGATTGATGAAGGAACTGAATGTTTTCTTTCAAATTGGCCTTGTCCCTGATTTTTAATTTTTTTTTTAATACAAAAGTAAATATATTACAATAACATGTTATGTTTTTACTTGTCTATTTAAAAAACTTTTTTTTTTAAATATATGGAAATGTTTTCTCACACTAACCAATAAATTTAAATAAGATTTGTTTTAAACATTCCAAGTTTTAAATAAAACAACTATAAAATTATTGACAATTAATTACGGTTTTTAGTTGAGATGAAAAAAAGTTAATGGCACGAGAAGGATTCGAACCCACGACCTTCGGCTAGATACGCCGCTGCTCTACCACCTGAGCTATCGTGACTTCGATCCACTCGGACATCAACTCCCCATTTCAACCCCACCTTATGAGTTTTCCCTCCTTTAGCCATTTTTCAAGATGGGGAGTTGATGTCCGAGTGGATCGAGGTCACGATAACTCAGGTGGTAGAGCAGCAGCTTATCTAGCCGAAGGTCGTGGGTTCAAATCCCTCTCGTGCCATTAACTTTTTTTCATCTCAACTAAAAACCTTAATTAATTGTCATGTATTAATTGGTCAAGCGGACCACGAAAGTAGTGAATTTATAAAATTATTACTATATGAAGGCAATGATTTATACCAGAGTTTAAAAAAAAAATTGTGTTGTCTTTTCAGTATTTTACCATTTCAGTGATTGGCCTTTGATATGTACAAAAAGAATGTAATAAAACGAACAATGTTGGATATAAAATCGTTAGTAAATTACTTCTTTGTGATGTCTCCCATTTACCAAGGGTACAAAACAAGACATTTTCAAAGATTATTGAATATCTTATGCAGCACCAAACTGTGCTGAAAAAACACAGTATCTCTGGATTGTTTTGTATAAAAGGTGTATTAGGTGAATAAGTGTGTATTAAGCATATAAAGTGAACATAATTAGAATATAACATTATAACATTACAACATATGTTCAGTTAAGAAGTTAAAAAAATTATACCATTTATTTTTGTTTTGGAAAGCCATTAACTCAAGCCGTTATATACGACGATGATCTTCAGTGGTGATTAACATGAATTGACAATGTGACATAAGAATTTGGCTTCGCAGCTGGGAAGCCAATAGAGAGTGTAATATAACATAGAATAACAGAACCTAAATCAAAAAAGTTTAGGCCTATATTCGAGGCAAATAGTTGATACAACTAGAACGGACAGTGTCAAGGAGTGTAATATGGTAACAAAATGTTTGAGAATCATCCCAACCCTTTCACACACAATCAACTCGTACGCCCAGGCGGGTGGCCAGCAGGCACGAGTACCCCACTGGTTGACTCCACTCAAAAGACTGTGGCCTTCACACCAGTACCTAGTTGAGTCAACTGAGTTCACCTTGAAAGCATTGAATTGCAATGTGGAGTAGTTTATTGAAGATAAACTCCCGTGATATGGGACATGAGGTGTGACAAATAAAATGATAAAATTAAAAAAAGCGAAGCTTGGAGGGAAGCAGCACAACAGTATTTGAGTGAAAGCGCTCGTTTCCCAATTTTATAACAACGGATAAACCCACACTTTTCTTTATTGGGTTTCCTCCTTTTTTGCTTCTCTTTTTTCAGAAGAGCAAGCACAAGAAGTACTGACCTCCCGTTGGGAAGGGAGGTTGATTCCACAAGTTGCCTGGTGTGAAACCAGCAAAGAAAGTCTTCACATGGCAGTAAAAGTTGAGAGTCGACGAGGCAACATAGTTGAATCAACTGCCTCGTCTGAAAGAGGCCTAAGTATTACCAAAAAGCATGGGTATATAAAACGGTACGATCAACCGCAGAAAATAATTGGTTGAAGCAAACCCACCCTATAACAAACCACTCCTTTTTAATGAATAAACAGATGTGAGCTTTTAATGTTAATATTAATCATTTAGCCACATTAAACTATTTCTGTTTACTATGACATATGTATCCCAAATCGCCATAAGATAATACTTTTCTTTGTTTCACATCAAGGAAACACTGAAAATGAATTTACAGATGTTTGAATGATTTTTTCAATTTTTTTTAGTTTTAATAGTATAAAAATGCCATTCTTGTTAGGAAAGGTAAGTTTGGTCAAATATTTTTTTTTCCTTTTTATGTTTTACCTTGTAAATATTTATAAAATAGATATTCTCTAACTTGCTTCCAAACCATGCTTTACGACCCATTTTACGAAGAACTAAATGTGACGCTGCTTCTGGTAAAAATAGAAAACTTAAAAAGTTGAAGGAAAAATATCAGGTTGGTCCGATCGCTTGGGGAAAAATGTTCAGATTTAAAAATATGTTCGTTTTGAAGGTTGAAGACTCCTTACCAGTGTTTCTTAAGGGAGGAGCCTTGGATAGAACAATTTACCTTACGACGATAGGCCTGTCAATCTCTGGCACTGCCCTCGTGGTGTATCGTAGCTACTTGATGGCTGTTTCTTCATCAAACTGACAAGAAAAATGTTTTACAAGGATATGGCACATAAATGAAATTATAAAATCATGCGTTCGTATTGTTTCAATATTAAATACAGTTGTCAGTCATGACGACTATATTTTATGTTTGAGTTAAAAATTGAGCTTCACGATAACTTTATTTTTATTACATGTAAAAAAATTGGTTGTGAAATTATTTTTTCATTTTCTCTTTTAGTTTCAGCATTTATTTATACAGTAATGTATCGAATCAATACACTATTTCAGTATTGGACTCTTGTACTAGTATTAAGGCTAGACTGTTATAGAAATTTGCTGTATTTTTAACCAAGAATTTCATTTGCTTTTTGGATTTAAGTTATGGTTGTTGAAACTCAGATCTAGACTTAAAAATAAGAAAAGATCTTTGATTGAATTAGACCGGGATAAACTTGTGGGTCCACAGCAAGTTTCAAGAAAAAGTAATAATTGCAAAAATAAACGGAGATTGAATAAATAAAATTTAAAAGTAATAACAATGAGTACTGAAAATTAAAGTTTTTATTTTCAGCACATGCTTTACCTACGAAACAAATGCCAGCCGCTTTTAAGAAAGTTTTGGATGAGTCTGTTCAAATTATTAATTATATTGCCATTGAAGTCAAGGCTTTTCATAATACTATGTGTTGATATGGGAGGTTTTCATAATTCCCAGCTTCAATCATCAAGTGAATAAGTATGTTTGATAGACATTACTTCCGACTGCACCTTGAAATCTATTTTCAAGTCCCGAGTTACCCCATTTTTGACTCTGGAAAATAAAAAAATTCAACTACTTGTTGAAAAAGCATCTGATCAACTTACCTATGCGCATCTGGATTTTCTGTGTACAGCAACCAAAACCAAACACCGAAGCTGTCAGATCCTGAACAGACATCTACCTCCAGCAATCAAAAATAAAGACCAGCATAACCAAATTTTGCCGGCTAAAACCACCTTGGAAATTGGCTCGTGTTTTACAAACCTATTGATTCCGTTGTGCTGTACAAAACATTCACATTGACATACATTTCAACACACGTTATTGGATACAAAACAATACATATATCAGTACTATACATTCCACATATAATATATGATATGTGTCTTAAAAAGATATTTAAAAAGTAGCTCATGTGGTTAGGAGCAGTGGCTTATTGAGCCAAAGGTCATGGGTTCTAAACCCACTTGTGACATGAGCTTTTTCTTCTCAACCAAGACTTTAAATTACAAGTAATTAATTAAAATCATTGATACAGTAAATTATGACTACTAACTAAATATACTGATTATATTATTATATATTTACGTATTAAATTTAAGGAGCTGAAATTCAATAATCTCAACTGATATTAGATTTTTATTATACTATTTCCAGTCGAGGTAAAATAAGTGAGCAAGGATTTAAACATATAAAAAAGCCTAACATTTTACATCTAATTATTTATTTAGTTTTTATATATGTATTTTTATATATATATTTTTTACAATTACTATTTCAGTATTTACAGCCTTTGTCATAGCAATGAGAAACTTCAATTTCAAAGTTTATTTAAAATGTTGAATTATTTACTTTTGAAAAAGGCAAAATTGAAATCCTAATTAAAATTGTTTGTAATATCATTATTTCACAAGGTATCACAGAAACAATGTGTTTGATGATGTATGTACAATCGTTCAGATACAATAATGCATAATTTAAATGCGAGTACAACATAAACGCGTTTAAAAATGTTGACTGTAAAGCTGACCATAAAAAAGTTTTCAAATTATTCCAATTTTTTTTTTTCAATTAAAATTATTGAAAATTATAATTCCATTCAAACAATAAACTGTTGTAAAATGTAGAAAACTTCTCTAAAATGGACCCATTTTATAATTATAATTATAACTTTGCTACTATAAACTTTTTTTTCTTTCAATCGAATTCTCGTTGTGGTGATATTTGTCAAAAATATGTCCAGGTAAAAAAATGTGCTTCAGCTTTTATTATAAATTCTCAGATTGCTTATTCTTATATGTGATGTTGATGCAAACTATACACTTTAAGCGGGCCCTGAACATAATACAGTTTGCATCATCATCATCATATATAAGATAAATAAATCTAAAAATTCATAATAAAATCTTAAGTATTTTTTTTACCTTAAGTGGGTCCTTTATACACATAAACCTGACCATTTTTACAAAGCACACAGAAAAAAAAGAAATATAGTACATCTAATTTCTTAAAGCCTGAATTCAATTGAGTTTCAAATTGTGTGTAAAATCTATAAAAATATAACTTTATTTAGGAAACTTAAAACTATAAATTTATAGGAGGTGGTAAAACAGTGCTCCAAAATTTTAAAACATTTACTGTATGCTTTTTCAAATGTATTTACATGATAGAATAGAAATAAATAAAATAAAATCAGTTTTTAATGAATTAACTATTACAATAGACTATATACTGTTATTGTCCCTGTTAAATAATTCCTTCTATTACTTTTTTTGAACCAATCAATCAAAAATATTTTTTATAATTTAATGAAGATTTAGACATTTTTTTAAATGCATCAAATTATTAGTTAAACATTCAATTTATAATTATTATTATTAAATTGTGTTATTTTAAGAAGTATGACATCAATGATGGAACATTAATCTAGGTATTATTATCTAGGTTAATTTTTTTTTTGTTATTTTTAACAATTGAAACCTTTTAAAATTATTTTTTTCCTTAAAACACTTTAAAAAACATTTTAAACAAAAAAAAACATGTCTTTTACAATTTGTACTGCCACTGTAAAATAATGATCACAATGTAGGGGAATGTTTATTCAATAATTTTCACCATCGAAAATATCCTGTTGCGCATATCGAACAATAATTTTGGGCAAATTATCAGTAGAGACAATGCTAGGCAAAGTATAAAGAAAAAAAAGAAACAAAACTTCACTTAATAGAAAATTGACTCTTTGGTATTTCAACAGAAATCTGTGCCATTATTTAATCACAAGTATGTTATCAATCAATATTAACACATTATCTACATACATTTATAGTTAATAATTAACCTTTGTGCATCACATGCTCAAAATCTTATAATTATCACTGATACAAAATATATCTCTGGAATTTAATATAGTTGTTTATTCTTTAAATACTGTTAATGTAATCTATTAGCAATTGTTTTACAAATGCTAATGAATGTATTTCTTAAATCAATTTAATTTGTAATTAAACTTTCCCTTTACTGACTTACGGTCAATATATGATTATGCCTACCTTATAATACAAGAATTCTACATTGTTCGATTAATAATCATTTAAAAATAGTCTACCCTGAAAATATGTTAAGACAGCTCAAACGTTATTTGACTCAAATGACTGATATCAGGATAGGTATGATTATTATTATTAGTAGTATTATTTTATATGATAAATATTTGATCTTGATGCAGTAACACAAAGTCAGTAAACATGTTTATTGGAGCAATAGCTGAAAGTGACAGCTGGGCTCCTTGTGCCCAAATCAGATTAGGCCCAAATACGACTGCGAGGTTTGATGATGTCATTTTGTTGAGATCACATCTATCCATCACCTATAAAATATATTACAACGTAATAAATGTAGCAAAACATAACATATTAAATAAATTCCCCTCCTATGTTTATAATTTAAAAAAATCTTTAACAAAAATGTATATTATATCTTTTCAATTATCATTTCAATTGAATAATTACCAAAAATTATTAAGATAAAATTATTAATAAGTTAATTATGGAATGAGATATTAAACTTGTCAGATTCTTCACTAAGAACTGTAAGATCATTAAGATTTTAGCAAAATTATTAAATTACAATTAATTAAGGTTTTTAGTTGAGATGAAAAAAAGTTAATGGCACGAGCAGGATTCGAACCCACGATCTTAGGCTAGATACGCCGCTGCTCTACCACTTGAGCTATCGTGACCTCGATCCACTCGGACATCAACTTCCTATCTCAACCCCACCTTATGAGTTTTCCCTCCTTTTGGCATTTTTCAAATGTCGTTTAATCGGTTTTGATTCTCGACGACAATTGAAGTGGCGACGGAGAGCTTTACTGAAGTGTACTTCATTTTTTGAAATCATTAATTCACTACTTTCGTGGTCCGCTTGACCAATTAATACATGACAATTAATTAAGGCTTTTAGTTGAGATGAAAAAAAGTCCGAGTGGGACATCGACTTCCTATCTCAAACCCACCTTATGAGTTTTCCCTCCTTTTCGCCATTTTTCAATCGTATCTAGCCAAAGATCGTGGGTTTGAATCCCGCTCGTGCCATTAACTTTTTTTCATCTCAACTAAAAACCTTAATTAATTGTAATGTTGGTCAAGCGGACCACGAAATTAGTGAATTTAAAAAATTATTAAACTTGTGGTAAGATGATGAACCTACAGCTTAATTTGATCTGTTTCATTTAGTTTGGAAGCTACAAGAACTAAGAATAATATACTAGCAGGCCTAAAAAATAATAAATAAATAAAATTTAAAAAAAAAATCAGTTAATCAAAAACGGAAGTATGAATTGATAGGAAAAACGTGGCATGGGTGGAACCTACTATTAATCTTGAAAACTGAGAGCTGATAGGATATATTTTAAATGAATGATCAATGGTGCTTCACCTAAACTGACACAGTTGACAGCTGACAGTCCAGCTGAAATTAAATTCAGCCAATATGTCAAGACAATTCCATATTATCAGCAGTTTGATCACCTTGGTTTTTACAATTGCGAGAAAAAATGCTGATGGGGTAAATAAACTGCTGACGAAATATTATTTAAACACCTGATAAAAATTCACCATTTTTATCATTAATTAGAGTTCATTGCCATTGTTTAATAAACCATTAATTGTTTTGATACTTTTTAAAACCAAACAAAAACCTTTCCAAACAAACAGACATTAAAATGTCCTCTAAAAATATCCTTAAATTTGAATTATTTAATAATCTAAACACACTGATGATCATTAATAAAGTTTTAACATCAATTTAAAAAATCCAAATATTAATCACAAATTAATTAAGGTTTTTAGTTGAGATAAAAAAGTCAGTGTCAAGAGCGGGATCTGAACCCATGACCAAATTCAAAAGGTGGGGTTGAGATGGGAAGTTAGTGAGTGGATCGAAGTCACGATAGCTCAAATGGTAGAGTAGCGGCGTATCTAGCCGAAGGTCGTGGGTTCAAATCCCACTCATGACACTTCCTTTTTTATCTCAACTAAAAACCTTAATTAATTGAAAGACATTAATTGGTCAAGCGGACCACAAAAACTAGTGGAATTAATCACTAAACTAATTTAAATACACATAAAATATGCCTACCTTTGACAAGAACTGAACAATATATTTTAACACTTGATAATTATCCTCTGGTAACTTTTCTAGGATCAAAATTTTTACATGTCTGGGTTTTTCATCCTTTGATATACCTATAAAGTATTATGTTAGGTACATGTTATACCAGCCTGGAATAGAATATGCAAGGGTAGTTACCTGGAAACTGAGTAATCTCGTCGTACAATTCATACGTCAGCAAAGGTTCGTCTAATTCTCTCAGAAACGTTTTCAATAAAACTGCAGCTATATGTACATTACCATTAAAATCTATATCTTCCCCCCTATTGACTCGAGCTTGCATTTCTTTGACCACTGCGACGTTTGCCGACCTTCTAAATAGACCTTCAGTCTCCAAAGCTGAAATAAGTTTTACAAGACGAATAAAATGAGCGTCGTACAACATGGTCAGTTACGTACCATCAGGTTTGCTTAAAAATTCGACACATTGCCTGACTATTGGTGGGATAACATTGCCATTGTTATGATCCTTTATAAATTGAAGTGATATGCCAAATTGTTGGGTGGGTAAAGGTGCTTCAGAAGGTTGTACTGATGACGGAAGATCCGCTGTCCCTGGGTTAAGTTTAGTTGGTCTTTTGACAGCTCTTTTTGGTAAAATCTTTTGATCATGCCTACATCAGTAAAATTTAAATATAACAGTACATCTTCTAAAGTAAAAAAAATATTTTAAAAAATATATAGAAAAGAACTAAAAAATCCAGCACGCTATCTGGGTAATATTGGTACAAGTTGTACAAACGTATGTATAAAAAAATATTAGCAATAAAATCCTCTACAATATAAAATCTATTTCAAAATGGGAAAATATGTCTCATACCTCCGTTTTATTGAAAATAATTTTAAAAAATGTGTGTCATACACAAGAGAACACATTTCATCATCTATTAAAACATATTAAGTATTAAAGAGCCACCAAAATAGATTAAGGTGTTGCCAGGTTTAGTTAATACACAATAAAAATACATAAATACATGCATACACAGTGTTAAATACATACAAACATTGTGTGCGTAAATTACGAGATATATTTAAGTTCATTTTTATAGCAATGGAATAAGTTTTTAGGCATAATGAATATCAATATGGCTAAACAAATCCTCACACTTCCGATTACAAACTTTTTTTTCTGAAAATTGTACACCAACAGAACAATCTTTACATTTGCAACAACAATACTTATTTCTAGCAGAATAGCTTTTAAAATAAATGAAGAAAAAATTCAACTTACTCTAAGACTTGTGGTGGAATTATGATTTGGTCAAGATTTATATGCTCTCCAAGTTCATGAAGGTAATTTACATACATCATTTTTCTGCCAAATTTAACGCTGAAAAATAATTGGATTAAAAATATACAAAAAAATCCTGTTGTTTCAAATTAAAATTGCTACTACTTAAAAGTTTACACAAGCAACTTTCATTAGGTGTTACATGGCTTTTCCTTTTATTGAAAACAAACAAAAAATGCTTTTTTTTTATGAAAGTTTATAAATAATAGTTATTTTATTAAAGAAAAGCCTTAATGACATTTTGTCTCCAATTTATAAAGAACAAAATAATAAAATATATTTATCAATAAAACTATTACGATTATTAACTTACCTAATTGCAGCTTTAAAGATGGACCAAAGTACTCTTATAAAGTTTGTAGGATGAACTAAATAAAGAGCTTTTAAATTCTTTTTATATTTCCTATCAAATGTTCGAAATGCTTGCCACATCCATGACAAAGGGGGTTTATTTTTGCTATTCAATCCATAATGAAAATAAACAATCGTGTAATCAATTTCTACAAATTTATCTAATGTGTACGTTAAATATCTAAAAACAAAACAAAACACAAAAAACAATGCCATTTAAAAAATGCAATCGAGATGTGAAATTGTTAAAGTATATGGTGATAATAACCTAAGTAGCTGATGGTGATCAAGTTGTTTATTTGGAGGCAACTTACAAGCTGAGACAACGATTATCCTTCTTCCTGCTGTATCTTCACCAAACACTTCGACAATGCCAAATTTTGAGACATCGCTGTAATCGTCATCATCACCAAATTGGTACGTAAGGCTGTCGTAGCCTGTTGGCGCGTTAACAAGTTCTTCTTCAAAATTTTCTTCGATCGTACCGTCGGACACAGGCGACTCTAAGTAATCGAAGGTCCCACCTCCAAGCCCTTCAATTTTCTCTCCTAGATCTTAATAATTGAGAGAATACACATTAGAACAAATAAGTGGAGATCAGAATTTATTTTTATTAAATGATACACAAGTTTCTTTGAAAGATCGTGTTTTCTAGCATTCTTGGTGTAAGGAGTGAACCTTTTACCCCCGTTAATTCTAGTTACTGAAATTTCAATTATTGTTACATTTTATTTTTCATTTTCTAGCTGATTCATGTAAAAATTTGATATAAATAGGATTTTAACGAACACAATCATTTCAATTAATTATACTTTTATCTAAGGTCTTGGTTGAGATGAAAAAGTGTCATGAGCGGGATTCGAACCCACGACCTTTGCCTCAATACGCTACTCCTCTAGCGTATTGAGCTGAAGGTCGTGGGGTCATGACACTAACTTTTTTTTATCTCAACCAAAACCTTACATAAAAATATAATTAAATGATATAATTAAATAGGTCAATTATGTCTGCTAAACATATGGGTTTAATCTATAATGATTCTGACAAAGACCAATGATTTTTTTATTTGACTAACACTAATCAAATTGTAAACAAAATTATATTTTTTAGGTTTAGACTTATAATTAACAGTTGCAGACTCTAAAGTCATGTGCTAATGAATTCAATCTAAATTGGGAGGGGGAGACCGCAGTAGCCGAGTGGTCAGCATGATAGACTCTCGGCTCGTAGACCCCATAGTCATAAGTTCAATTCCCACTGTTACCCCTGGCACATACTACGGATAATATTGAAATATAAGGCCATTAAAAAAATCTAAACCTGGTTTAAACAAAAGTGAATAGTTCAACAGGAATATCTACCTATATTCTAATATCTGTTGTCATATGTAAAAAATGTTGGAATGATGTAGTTTGACCAAAGCAATTGTTTTTTTAAGAACATATCTTAATCATCTTCGACATTTCACCATCTTCAATGTTGAGTTTTGTGTTATTATACATGTATGTTTTCATTACAGTTTTTAGTAGATTTTGCAATTATAGAATTAACAGCAAGCAAATATAATTGACTTGTACAGTCTTCAGAGGTGAATTCTACTGATCAATTAATTGTTTGAATTCAACCTGAAATTGGCTAAATAACAAAATGTATATGAGAATTAAGCAAGTAAGAGTAAAACCAACTTCATTTCACCAACATTCATCACCTATATCACAAATTATTTTATCTATAAATCAGGTTAACGCAAACTTTACATTAATCCAGGCCTGGTGTGGGCAATACAAACTATATAATAATGTGAAATTTGGTTGTTAATGCTTATTTTGCATGAGTCTGTCAGGTGCATTTAACCATTAGAGGCACACTGAAGATGGCGATATACAAAAATGTGCTTAATGCAAGGATAGGTAGACAAAATGATCTATAAAGACTAAATTACAACACCGTGCAGAACACACTGAGAAATTTTACAATAAAAATATTCAGATTATAATCGACTGAAAGCTTGACAATAAAACTATTTGCTTATGTTTGACCAATTTTCCATTTTTTTTTTAAATTATTACTATAAAACTATTGTATATATCAAGAAAAGAAGAAAAATAAAACCTCTTTAATAAACACTCCATTATTTTATTTGGGAAATGGTTGTCTGTTATTATTCGGAAATCGTGAGATGCAGTCTGGTGAGATGTAGGTTTCAGAAAAACATTTTCTTTATCGTGCCAACGTTTCAATCTTTATTGAGATCATCTTCAGGGCTTGGGATTTACAAACATTGTTTACATTTAACAAATACATGTAGGATGTGGAGAAAAGTGAATTTATACAATTAAAAAAATATTTTTTATATTAAATCAAAGTATTTCTACTAACTCAGTGTTTGTTTTTCTGAAACCTGCATCACACCAGACGGCAACTCACGATTTCCGAATAATCATCGACTAATGGTCACTAATCACCACACACGTTGTCTGTTATATTTAACATTTTCAGTCACTTACATGAAGATTTTGAGTCTTCCTTAATGAATTATTTCTTTTATTGAGTTAACTTTCTTTGAAATTTTGAAAAAGTAAATTCCTTCATGACAGGAAAATGTTAACACTTTCTGTTAAGTAAATAGCCAAACCAAGAGTCTGGCAGATGTGCAATATTTGATTAATAATGTGGGCCAATTTTCAGAGAGGGGCATCGTAGGTCAATCAGTACAGGCTCATACACTCTCGAACTGTGTGTCTTTTTTATTTATTTTTCTAAGCTAACTTTCCAAGGATGAACTTAAGCGTAAATAAACAAAAATTTTGAACACTTTAAATAAATAGAGCAAGGCCATAATTTAATTATTATTTATTGAATCGGTTGACTTACTTGGATCAATTGCTGCATTCTGTAACTCTGTATCATCAAACTCTAAGTTGGGCTCGTAGTCGTGATAGTCGGACAAACTAGGGTAAGGATCTTCTGAATCGTTCGGCACCCCTACAAATATGTTTTTATGCGTGAGTTTTTATCTTGAATCGACACTAACTTTAAGAGATATCAACGAAATGATCAAGTGAATATCTAATTTGGATATCATGGGGAGTTCAATTTAAAAATATTTATAAAAAGATTAAACGAATTTTGGTAAATTTTTTGAAAACAAACTAATTCCATTCAACAGATTTACTGTGTGACCAGCTTTGAAGTCTGCTAAACTGAACATACATAAAACAAATTATTTTATTTCAAATAAAATTGAATTCAATTAAAGAAGTAAACATTTTGTTTTTAATCAACAGAAAGCTTGTGATGAGCAACACTTCTGCGCGTTTTCGTCAAGGAATTTGTCCAAAAAAAAAAAAAAAAAAAAAAAAAAAAGAAGACCCACCCAACAAAATCTTAAGATAAGATTTCCATTATTACCATTGTTTGCTAAACGTCCATCTGCCATCATCTATTCAGTATTTTCTATAGCAAATATTATATTGGAAAACGAAAAAATTAATCCGATTCATATTATACGATCATCACGATGCGATAATTGTATATGTTATGATTCACATTTCGATAACACGTTCAGTTGTAAAGTGTAAAAAAAAACACTAAAAAGGCGATGAGAGTTTACACTGGTTAGCCCAATTCAGTGAAGTTTACGTCTTTCATCGTAATTTAAAGATATTGAAGACATCGATCCATCGAAATATTTACTCGATGTCAGTCTATCGAGGTTTTATTTGGACAGAGCAAACGATAACAGTTGAACTATCGAAAAAGATTTGATTTCACTCAATTTTATTATTTGGCTTTTATTTGATTCATTCAACTGCCTGTCGCTCACTTTTAAACTTTATACATGTCCCATGGACCCTCTCGTTATGCTCTTGTTGGTGAGATGCCACAAGGGCATGATAGGCCTGCAAAATGGTGGTTGCAGTCTGGGTACCTGGACAACAAATTCAACCAAGTTGCCTGGTTGACTCTCAAATAGTTTACTGCTGTGTGAAGACGTTTCTTTGCTGGTTTCACACCAGGCAACTTGTGGAATCAACCTCTTCCCAACAGGAGGTCACTACGATGTTAGAACCCGAGGAAGCAGGAGCACTTCTTGTACTTGCTCTTCTGCAAAAAAGGAGGAAACCCAGTAAAGAAAAGTGTGGGTTTATCCGAAAATAATGAAGTTTGATTTTTCAAACATCTTTGCTATAAAAACTTTATACCGATCCCTTGTCCATATTGGAATGCGCTTGTATAGTCTGGGCTCTCTTTACTATGACATGTATAGGGCTCTTATTGAGAAGATTCCAATCAAAGGTGATTAAATTCATTGTTTATAAGACACAGGCATTGTTGTCTTGGCAATGAATGCGAATCCTCTGCCTTTCAGTTGTAGTAGCTCACCCATAGGCGAGATTTGGCATTCCTGTCTTTCGGACGGAGGGTACTTAAATGTTCTCATTTTGGATCAGATTTTAAATCCCGATGTAAGTCCTTATTCCGTACATACCAAGGTGCATTGACCATGTTATATAAGATTTTATTTTGGAGTGTTAGTATTATTTTAATATTGCTGTACTTGGTGCATCCTCATAGTTGAATATCATGTCTACACAAGTTTTAGGACTTGATTGTATATTTTATTTTGTATAGTAAGGTCTCAGCTTGGCAACTAAGGTCATTCCCAGATATTTTGCTGTATGGTATATAGTTACATCGATTGTGAGAGACTGAACAAAGTCCACTTTTTTGTTTGTAAAATTTATATGAACTGATTTATGCTGATTTAGCTTGATTCTCCATTTTTTGTCCATTCATTTATCTTACTACGAGACTTTTTTTAGGATTTTGGTTGAATGGTTGATGGTCGGTCTTACTGATATCACCACTGTTTCATCTGCAAACGTTACAATTTTTACTCCATCTATTTTCGGAAAATCAAAGTACAACAAGTAAAGCAGTGGACCTAATATGCTACCTTGTGACACTCCTCAATTTATCAATATCTACTGCTTTGAAAGCATCCCTTTTAGTTTATAGATGCCAGACCTTGGAAAACTTGTGAGACATCAAGAAAGATAGAGCAAATTTGTTTTTCTTCAAGAGATTTTTCTATTACTTCTGTCCCTCGGTGTACTGAATATGGTCTATTCTTGAATGTCGGTCAAGGATGATTTTCTTTTTTTCTATAACGGGTTTTATTCTTTTGAGGAGTAACTTAAATGTTCTCATTTTGGATCACTTTTCCCTTAACATCTCTGTGAGGAAGTCAAGACGCCATGAGGTGTTCAGTATCGAGCTGCGCAGGGATTGTGGATCTGATAATGATGAAATTGAGTTAAGGATAAAATTTTCCTCGGTCGATTCTGGCCGGGTATACCAGAATTCCACAAAAAACCCAGGTTGAAGTCACAGGTCATAAGAATGTCATGAACATGTCATAATTTGTGTTGTAGACATAATTTTTACATTCCATTGCATTGATGAATATATGCTTCGTCTTATATCAGTGATTTAAAAATTTTCTGGTTGCTGAAAGAAGAAAATCTCATTGCTGCTAATCTTATTTTCATAGATTATAGATAAACTTGACAACAAAGACTAAAAATGATAAATTTGAATTTATTGTTTCAACAGTACGATTGGCGCTTTAATCCTCATGTTGTTATGTTGGAGGTTGTAAACTTGTAATGTTATTCCAGCTTGACTCGCTCGCCGTGTTATGACGGTTCTAGTTGAGAGCTTTAAGCTTTTATAATGGATCAGGTACAATAAATAAAAATCATTGGATTCTATTATTCATTCTGGATATTTTTTAACGTAATAAGTAATTCTGCCTTAAAGGATTTGAAAGCGCAAGTTGATCTGGCGTGCAAGACAGGGGAAGACTTCACCAACTACTATTATGAAAATCTCGACAAGAGAAGACACGTGAGTTTCTGTTTGAATTAAATAATCTTTTAATCGACGCATCAATCAATTATCTATAACAATTGTGTAATGTTAAGTCCAAGAAGGATTTGCAGAATGTGTTGTCAGTATATTAACAACCACATTCTTCATATTATTCCATCTGTCTGTAACGATTGTCTGAACTTTGTAATGCTACATGCTTTTTTTTTGGGAAGGATCACAGTCACAATTCATGGGACGTGTACATTTGGGGTCATGTCAACCAAGTGGGGCGATACACTTCTTTACAAGGCCCCCTGTGGCATGGGATCAGGGATTGCTTAATGGAATCCACCTGGCCCAACAGACCTGACTTACCTACTCTGATTGAGAAACTTGTATAAAAAGGGGATTATTTGAAAAGCAAAGGTCAATCAACTTGGAGTACTCAGTACAGAGCACTAGCAGCCACACTCCTTCTGGGACTCAGCCGACCAGAACCAGTCAAATAAAGTCGACTGTCGAGGACCCAGGGAGGCGCAGCAAGAAGATCCAAGAAAGCGCTAAAGATCGTTTGGTTCGTAGTCTTCTTGTGAATGAGCTCATCCCAGAGTTGAAGTTGATTAAGCACTTTCTGATCTTTGCCCGATAAAAATAAATGAACATAATCAACTTGCTGACGATATTCTTCATCAGAATCCAGTCCCTTAACACAAGGTCCAAGACAGCGATTAATTTGATTTTGGAGATAAGGCCTGGAACAGTTTCTAGATTGTGTTACAATTTATTTATTTATTTTAAATTTAAAATGAATACTGATTATGAATATATCTCTGATTTGTCATTTTTCTAGTACCCTAACTCCTCCTATACAAAAGTTAAGCATGTACGTTGAATATTCTCTTATTGCAAAAAATCAATAGAGCATTGGTACTCTATTTTTTTTATCTTCATGCGGTCGCACAGGTGGTAGTCTACTGCCCTTGTCGTAAAAGCCGTAGCACTTTTGTTCTATGGTTGTGCAGGGGGTTATTTTCTCAACTTACAAATATGAAATTAAATTAATTAGTAATCATCGTCCAAATTGGCGAGTCGTGCTGTTATTCACTGTCAAACATTTGTAGTTGGTAGTTTTGTTCTCTACAGTTGATTTATTTACATTTATTTGATATCAATTTCTCTTATTATCATTATGCACTAATCATAAAATAATAATATTATTAACAAAAATTCACAATTCTAATTAAAAAAAGAAACAGAAATAAATTTTATATGTAATTTAAAATGGGATTTTTGCATACATTTGGCCTTCCAAATTAAGAATTTTAAAAAGAAAAATTAAAGCTTAGATGGCAATAGGATAAATTAGTTTACAAGTGAATGTTTGGAGTCAGAGCTTCATAGCACTTAGAAGGGATATAGGTAACCTAAGATAGAAGGTTTGGATGTTAGGGTGTGAAATGACCTTAGCCGTTAAAACGCCCTTAAAAATTAATCATAATAATAATATTATTATTATAGGTAGGTACTTTTCAAATATACAATGTGTAAATTTATCCTCTCCTCAAAAGGAACTGGGTGTTTTTCACCTTTTTAGGGCACGTTTCTCTAACCCTGAGGACATTCATCAAATCAAAATGATTCAGACAGTAATTTCAGAAGTTTCATTTTGTCATGCCTTTTTTTAAATATTTTTTTGTGCACTACATTTAATTCTAAGACTGATATTGTCGGTTGATCTCATATTGTTTGTGATTCATTATTTTGTCAATTTGTCATTTTGAATCAATTTTTTTAATGTTTAAACATTTGTATTAGAGTGCTTCTATCAAAAGTACACCTATTTTCTATCGAGATGAGCGAAAAAACAAGCAGGCTGTAGACAACTGCCATGTGCCCACCAGTGACAAAAAAAAGTCATAGAAATGGTGAATGATAGAGTGAATGCGGTGTTTTTTTAAAAAAGTCGCACCGACAAGAATAATAAATTTATTGCAAATCTTGTCCAATTGACTAATTGGTATAATGCAGTAATCCCTGCTGTACTAGGGTCACAGAGGACAGGCCGGAACCAATTTACAATACTTTTTGTCAAATTATTCTCAAATAAAATTCCAAGGACTCTGCCAGGGTCCCAACCCAAAACATTATTATTTTCAAATACAAATCAGATGCCCCAAACCACACTCGGCAGCCTTGATCTAATGGTATAACTATTTTATCAATCAAGGCAACTTTTCTAATTGCTTTTCTCACAAAATTAAAATTTTTACAGTAAATATTAACAACTTATTACATTTTTTCTTATTCTCAGAAAAAAATTAATAAAACTTAAATAGTGGCGGGACAAACTTAGACAAGAAGCGCGAGAAGGAGGAAGCAATTCGTGGCCTGCAAGTTCCTGACCCGGATGCCACTGGGTTCAAGGCTAGTGGGCTCCGTGTTCGAGATTGGGAAAAAAAAAGCAAGCGGCAGTCAGTTCAGGATAGACAATCCGAGTAAGAGGTGGTCTCCGCGAGGAAAAGAAAATTTTTTAAAAAAAGCTTGGGTGTGATCCCAGTGGTACTGATCCCGGCGGACATGGCACAGCCTAAGTGGAAGAGTGATCCCATGAGTTGGTTCATTTCCAATTTCTTTAGGCCTGATAATTTGGGACTAAAGACATTAGTTGTAAGTTTCGGCTTATAATTAGTTTAATTTTAAAAAAGAATTTGTAAATTTAGTTATAAATAGAATAGTTGCTGTTAGTATTCATTTTTTTTTTATTTATCGTAGTTTAAACCCTAAGATTTCTTGTGTTAATGAATTAACTCCGGCAGAAGAAGGAAGCTACATCGGTCGTCTGGGGTCTAACACGGGAACCGTATCTGTCCTTCCTTTTCCCTTTTTTTTTTTTTTTTTTTTTCATTGTTCTACTTTTCTTCTCCTTTTTTTTCTGGTTTCAGTATTTATCCTTCTCCAAAAATAAACTTGCACCCCCTCACTGTCCATCACTTGTCTCTCCATTCAACACGTCCCCTCCCTTCTCCACTGAGCTACCGCCAATGCTCGTGCAGCCACAGTAAGGAAGCTGTAACAAACTAGTGTAGTTTAATTAACAATTATGTGTACCGAATGGTTAGGGTGTCTGACACGTGTACCACACTAGTGGTTCGTGGTTTGAATCCTGGAATTTTAATTGGTAAAATGGAAAAGGTATTGTAAAATGGTTTGGTCCTTTGTCCACAACAGCCGTAGTGTCCATATTAAGAGGGATTTAAATAGTAGAGTTCAATATTAAGCCCTTATATGACAGGGATTACTTTTTACTTTTCTACTACCAGTCGGACAGTGTAACAACTCAGCCACTATGGCCCTATAATAATTTATAATAATGATTCGCTGAAATCATTTTTTTTTTCTTTGTTATTTCAGTTAATGAACAGACTTTACTTGGATGCCGGGAGTTTGATATGGAATGGAAATGGAACGACTGGAAAAGATGAAATAGGGAAATTCTTAATGGAATTACCAGTGAGCGAGCATAAACTTTTTTCTTTAGATGCCCAGAAAATATCTGGTATGTCTTAACAGCTTTAATATAAAAAAATTTATATAAAATTAATTTTTTTTCCGCCCACAGATGCAACTCTACCTAACAAGTTGGCCTTCTTGATCAAAGTGACAGGCACAGTGAAGTACCAAGGGAAAATAGCCAGATCTTTCACCCAGTCATTTGTAATAACAAACCAAGATGCCAAATGGAAAATTGTCAGCGATTGCTTCAGGCTCCAAGACCCGATAAACTGACGTGTAAGGAGAAATCGATATAAAAATAAGTTAAATGTTCTATTTACTTATTGATAAAATGTGTATCATTATATTATTAATAATCTAATAAAGCCTTGATAAACAAAAGGCTTTTATAAAAACAAATACATAAACATAAAATAATACTCTGGTTATTTTTTAAATTAACATTTCACAGAATTTTCTTCTTTCTAAGTGGTATAATTTTATTAACTTACGATCACGGTTGGAAAACAAATTTAACATCTTAAGAATACTGTTGGAAGAATAAGAAAAATACACTAAACGTAAGAGTTTATTTACATTGTTTTTCAATTTTACTTCAAATGTTTCAATCATAAAATATATATCACAAATTTAGAGCAAACTTAGTATTAAAAACTAAAAAATCAGGTTTAAAAAATATAGTAAATTATACAAAATTTACAAAAACAAAATTTTGATTTATTAAAACTAACTGAATATTTTATGTCCTGGGGGTGACCAGGGCGTAATATGGCCCTGGTGAAGGAGTGACCCCGTCAATGCCTTTTGTGTCCGGTGGTTCTTGGCCTGGTGGGATTTCAAAATTAAAATGTTGCAAAAGTGTCGCTGTGAATAGAAATATATTGCTTCTTGCCAGTGTTTGCCCCATGCAACGGTGTTTACCTAAAAAGATCACTTTTATACGGATGTTCACAATTGATAGGAAAGAAAAAATTCAATACCAAAACCAAATGGCAGATAGTAGTCAGGAACATGAATCTTTCCTGATTCATCAAGGAATCGATCAGGTCTGAAGTTCTCAGGATCTCCCCAGAGCGTTTTATCCATGAGGGTTCCATTAAAGTTAGCAATAATCATTGTATCCTATTCAAAAGTGAACATTATCCATTTAATAAAAAATAACAGCTAAATAAACTCTGTGAAAGAAAGTGCAAACTTTGACAAACTCATTTATATATATATATTTTTTTTAAATTTAATTTATTTACTAAAACTGGTCTTATTAGGCCAACCATTAATTTTATGTTGATAGATATGGAATATATATATATATATATATATATATATAAAGTGGAAGGTTTATGGGCCGACAAACAGCTGAGGTCATCGCCGGCCCTCCGCGTGTATTCCTTCTCTTTCCTGTCTTTCTCGCGTATGATATGGAATAAATAAATGTTTCCATTCTGATAAACCCATTGGTATAATAAAATTTACATGATTCTATTCACAAAATTTTAAACTACAATAGTTAGATGGCTTTGTACTTTTTTACCTTTCAATCATGTAGGAGTCGCTTCCACATTCCCGTGCTGGCTGAAGCGAGACTGATGTTTGGCGGCAAATCTTTTTATTTCCGCGGGACCTCAGGGATTTTAAGATCCCGATGTAAGTCCTTATTCCTTACATACCAAGGTGTATTGACCATGTATGTAAGATTTTATTTTGGAGCGTTAGTATTATTTTAATATTGCTGTGTTTGGTACAACCCCATAGTTGAATATCATTTCCACATAGGCTTTAGGACTTGTTTGTATATTTTATTTGTGTAGTAAGGTCTTGGCTTGGCAATTAAGGACATTCCCTGATATTTTGCCGTATCGCTGTATGGTATATAGTTACATCAATTGTGAGAGACGGAGCATATTCCAGTTTTTTGTTTGTAAAATTTATAAGAACTGATTTATGCCGATTTAGCTTGATTCTCCATTTTTTTGTCCATTCATTTATCTTATTAGAAGGCTTTTTAGGATTTTGGTTGAATGGTTGATGGTCGGTCTTGCTGATATCACTGCTTACAATTTTTTTTTTTTCATCTGCAAACGTTGCTATTTTTACTCCATCTATTTTCGGAAAATCAATGTTGTACAACAAGTAAAGAAGTGGATCTAATATGCTACCTTGTGACACTCCTCAATTTATTGTTTTTAATTCTGAATATTATTGAATATATCTTCTTGTTTGACTCTAAAATGTCTGTCAGGTAGGTAGAAACTGACAATATCTACTGCTTTGGTAGCATCCCTTTTAGTTTATAGATGCCAGACCTTGGAAAACTTGTGAGACATCAAGGAAGATAGAACAAATTTGTTTTTCTTTAAGAGATTTTTCTGTTACTTCTGTCCCTTGGTGTACTGAATATGGTCTATTCTTGAATGTCTTGTTCAGAATCCATATTGGTAGTCAGGGATGATTTTCTTTTTTTGATTTTATTCTTTTTAGGAGTAACTTTTCAAAGAGTTTAGAGACTGTCGGTAGTAGCGATACTGGTCTATATGAATTGACCTCGCTCGCTGGTTTTCCCACTTTTTTTTCCATAATGACTTCATCAAATTTCCAGATGCTGGGAACACAATTTTGATTGCAGAATTAAATAGGTGTGTTAGTTTAACTATTTCCTTTTTCGACAATTTTTTTTTGTCAATTAATTATTCTTTTTATGTAAGGTTTTTGATTGAGATAAAAAAGTCAGTGTCACGAGCGGGATTTTTTTTTTAGTGTTTCTCCAGTGATAAGGTCATATCCTGGAGTCTTTTTAACAGGTAAATTTTTAATTTCTTGTGCTGTTTCTTTAGGTGTAACTAATTTTATATTTTCTTCTTGTGTTGTTAATTCAAGTAAGCTGCCATTGATGTTTTCATTTGGTTTGAAATTTCAGCAAGGTGAATGGCAAAAAAGTTTAGCTTTTTCTCTGCTGTCCCTCGCCCTTGAACCATCCTCTTTTTTTAATGGAGGAATCTGGCCGATTATAAAATTTAAGTAAAATAAATAAATCCCATTGGTTTTAAAAGTAATAATTTTACAATATAAAATTGAATTACAATACACATACATAGCAAAGCACATTTCTCAAGACCTACATTATCAGCAATCGACAGATGTGTTAATAATTTTTGAATTGTTTTGAATTGTTTATTGAATTACCTTTGGAATGTTGTATCCATTAAGGACAGTATCTTTGAGAGCTCTGTGAGGTATGCTGAAAGTCCTTCCCATGAAAACACGGACCGATTCGTACACAATCGCCTCAATGTAGGGCATGCTGCAAAGAAAAATAAAATAAGTGACCGAATGCAAACAGTTAACAAATCAAATACTTTGGCCTGTCTTGAAGTGTCGGTAATCTGTCCCTCCCGACAGTTCTGTCTATTTCTTCTTGTGCTTTTCTCTGTACTTCTGGTGTCAGAACCATATACAGGAAGCCGAAACCCAACGATTTGCTTGTCGTCTCAGAACCAGCCATAAACATATCCATACATATGGCCAAAAGTTGTGATTCTAAACATTTAAGAAAATTGATGATAAAGAATAGTTGCTAAATAGAAGATTGTAATGGCTCGAAGTAACTATTTGACCTGAGAAACTTGGTTTCCTATCTTCTGAGTTTAGCATTTCCAGATAAACGTCCATAAGGTCTCTAGGCTCTCCTTTGCAAAAGGTCTTTTTGTGGTTGTCAAGTTCAGTCTGTGCATAATTCAAATTTCAAATATGAGAGACCTTTCATAATAATAATTCAGAATAATATGCCTTCTTCAGCAACGAGTGTATATACATAACTCACCTTCAAGAAGGTCCAGACCCGCTGGTGTATGTCAATAAACTGTTTATAGCCAGATATTTCCGGAGCAATGTGTCTCAAAACAGGAAATTGAGAAAAGAGAGTTCCCACCATATCTATGTTAGCGAAAAGCTCTGTCAAAAGATTCTGAAGCTTTTTTAATTCTTTATCATCAGGAGAGTAACGGATTGATGCCATCATCATCCAAAGCGTGTTGAGAACATTCACTCCAAAAGCATCAGCCATTTCCACTATGGCTTTACCGTTACCTTTATTCACCTGTCAAATTTTAAAATTAGTAATTATTTCTTATTTATAAATTATTATATTTGTTATTTACATTTTCTTTAAAGACTGACAATAAATGTTCCGCCTCGGTTTCAACGAGTTCAGCCATGGTTCTTCTTCCGAATCCAAATTCACGAAGATGCCTTAGAACAAATCTTCTCTGTTCAACCCAAAACTCTTCGTCTGTTAACAAGAGCCCTCTTCGAGTTCCCCAGGTCCTCGTTTCATAAAACGGCCCCTGTGGCCTTCCGTCGAACTCCTCCATGGTGAGCATCTCCTTGATAGTCGGGTAATCGCAACAGATTACCTGTCTGTCCTTACCGACTTTGAGGCCCACGATCGGTCCGTACTGCCTCGCTAGTTCAGCAGTCGCTTTGTACAAATATCCTCCCATGTTCTGCCTCATCTTGGCGACACAGAGTGCACTTCCCACAAAAGGATACCATTTAGGACCTGCAAATTTTTAAATGTGCCTTATTAAAAATGTCATTTGTTTTGAAAGTAAATAATATAATAAATTGAATTCTCTTGCTAGTTTCAAGATTGTAAATAATTGTGGTGAGGTATGCAAGACGATTAATGTAGAATTTGATCAACTCTAATTTTCCTAGTTAAAATCCAATTATATAAAACAAGAGTAGGAACATACATTTTCCATTGCAAATTCGTTAAAAATCTAATGCCTACTGTTGGTTGATTTTTGTTTGACTGTAACTGTGTCAAATAAAAAGTTTTCTACTCTGAGCATTGAAGACAAGAGTCTTTGTTTTCAAAGAATTCTTTTTAATTTTTCCTTTGATTAAAGTTTCAAATTTCATTTTTTGAATAGCTTGATCCTCATGGTATGTCTATTCCGATTATTTTGTCTGTTCCACCCACTAAACAAGGCACAATATTGAAAAGTGTCGAATTGGTTCTGTATTGGAAACTGGGAGGTGTATTATTTTCTTTGAAAATTTCTATTCAATTTCTAATAAACTTTTACTCGGTTAGGAAAAGCAGAAAAACTCTGATGCCGCATAGCAGTTGTGTTGATCAATGCAACTTCTTGAAAATGTTCTTCAATTAATCAACAATTAAGTATGTGTTTTTATATGAATTTTAATAATTTACGCTCTTAAGACATTCATGGATTTTAAATGATAAAATAAGGATTATTTTGGTACAGATTATTAAATCCTGCCAAAATATAATTTTTTATTAATATTAGTCTGTGCCATCTAACAGGCAGTTTGTTGAATCCTCTCTTCTATGGCAGGAATAGCGAAATAATTAAAAATTATGCAATTACCTGGTGGAAAGTTGGTGGGTTTTTTGGCATCAAGGAGGAGAAGAAGGCCAAATATAAAAGCACACAGAAAGACAGCCAACCACATCTGGAATACAAAATTTATTGAACATTACGAAGCAAAATGCCCTGCAAATAGAATTTTAACATGACAAATTGTGTACGTCATGTAAATTGTTATGTAAGTAGTGAAAAAAGTAAAAGTAAGTAAATAAAAGTGTAAGTAAATAAATAGAGAGAGATGATAGATATAAATACGTAGATAACTAGAGAGATGAATAGATAAATAATACATAAACTCAGAGAAAAATAAATAGATAAATAGGTAATTAAAGGGATAAAGAGAGGTTAGATAGATAAATAGACAGAGATTATAGATAGATTGAGAGAGGTGGTAGAAAATAGATAGATAAATAGAGAGATTGACAGAAGTAATAGAAAATAGACAGATATAGGTAGAAAAATTGGAGATATAGCTAAATAAATAGGTAGAGAGATGATATATGAATAATTAGAGAGAGAGAGAGAGAGAGAGAGAGAGAGAGAGAGAGGGGGAGATCATAGATAGATTAAGAGAATGAAAGATGCAAAGATAAATAAATAGATGTATTCTTAGATAGAGAAAGAAAGAATGAGAGATATTATCTAGATAAATAGATAGAGAAATAGGTGATAGATTAAATAAATAAGGTAGATAGAAAGACAGAAAAATAGAGGTAGATAGAAAGAAATTATTGATATAGAGATAGATAATGGAAGGTAGAAAGAGTATGATGATGGATAGATAAATAAATGGCATGAGAAAGATAGATATATAGATAGAAAGAGAGAGGGAGCAGGAGTGAGAGAAAGAAAGAGATATAGATAGATAAAATAGAGAAAGATTGAGCAGGGGGAGAGAGATCAAGGGAGCAGGAGAGAGGGAGTGGGCGAGAGATAAAGAGAAAGAAAATGAGATAGATAGAAAGATAGGTACAACAGAGAGAGGTTGAGTGAGGGAGAGAGAGAAAGAAAAAGAGAGGTAGATAGATAGAGAGAGAGTGAGAGAGATAAAAGATAAATTGAAAGAGTTGATGGATGTATAAATAGATAGACAATTGGAGGTATATAGTTAGAAAGATGATAGATAAATAATTAGTGAGAAATAGAGATAGAAATAGAGAGATAATAGATAAAGGGATAAATAATAGATACATAGAGATGATATATAAATAATTAGAGAGAGAGGAGAGAGAGTGAAAGAGGAGAGAGAGAGAGAGAGAAAGAGAGAGTATAGATAGATTGACAGAAGTGATAGAAAATAGACAGATATAAATAGAAAAATTGGAGATATAGCTAAATAAATAGGTAGAGAGATGATATATAAATAATTAGAGAGAGAGAGAGAGAGGGAGATCATAGATAGATTAAAAGAATGAAAGATACAAAGATAAATAAATAGATGTATTCTTAGATAGAGAAAGAAAGAATGAGAGATATTAGCTAGAGAAATAGGTGATAGATTAAATAAATAAGGTAGATAGAAAGACAGAAAAATAGAGGTAGATAGAAAGAAAGTATTGATATAGAGATAGATAATGGAAGGTAGAAAGAGTGAGATGATGGATAGATAAATAAATGGCATGAGAAAGATATATATATATATATATATATATATATAGAGAGAGAGAGAGGGAGCAGGAGCGAGAGAAAGAGATATACATAGATAAAATAGAGAGAGATTGAGCAGGGGGAGAGAGAGCAAGGGAGCGGGAGAGAGAGGGAGCGAGCGAGAAATAAAGAGAAAGAAAATGAGAGATAGATAGAAAGATAGGTACAAGAGAGAGAGGGAGAGAGAGAGAGGGAGAGAGAGAGAGAGAGAGAGAGAGAGAGAGAGAGAGAGAGAGAGACAGAGAGAGACAGAGAGAGAGAGACACACACACAGAGAGAGACAGAGAGAAACAGACAGAGAGAGAGAGAGAGAGAGAGAGAGAGAGAGAGAGAAAGATAATAGTTAGATTAAGAGAATGAAAGGTACAAAGATAAATAAATAGATGTATACTTAGATAGAGAAAGAAAGAATGAGAGATATTAGGTAGATAAATAGGGAAATAGGTGAAGACAAAATAGAGAGATGATAGATAAAGGGATAAATAATAAATACATAGAGAAATAAATAGTTGAATACTTAAAGATAGAGAGTGAAAGAGATGTTAGCTAGATATAAAAATAGATAGATAGAGAGAAAGATGATAGATTACATAAATAAATATATAAAGATATAGACAGAAAAGTATAGGTACATAGAGAGAAGACGTAGATAGAAAGAAAGATGATCTATTACATTAATAGATATAGTGTGATGTCGCTATAAAAACTATAGAAAAAGGTAGATAGATAGAAAGAGAGAGATGATGGATAAATAAATAGATGGACAGAGAACGATAGAGATAAATATGTAGGTAGGTAGGGAGAGAGAGAGAGAAAGAGAGCATGGGAAAGCGTCTATATTTATTCTTTATTTTTTTGATATTTTGGCCATAAAATCTTTTCCAGGATGTTATAAAACAGGTGGATTAGTGTTAATAGTGTTAATGTTACGTAACTGGAGAGATGGAAAGTGAAAGCTTTCTTTTTCGTTTGAGGGGATAGGATGCGGACAAAAAGGTCTACTATCTTCTCCTTCCTCCAGTTCGATTACGTAAAGAAAGACCCCTGGGCCGGAAGATGAGGCCGACACTTCCTGTACCACCTTTAAATGAGTCTGGGTCCATAGAGAAAGTCGGTTTCTAGTCTGGATTTTGGAAAAAATTACATATTGCCTGAGGATTATTTACGTTTCTACAAACATGTTTTTGTTTACTTTGCTATTTGAGGTGATTCTTTCGCAAAACATGACGATTCTCTACGCTTTACGACAAAGTACAAAATTTCTGTTTTGCGAATTTGCGCCTTGGCAGGTGAACAACAATCCTCAACATTAAATAAATTGACTTGTAAGTACCGTCAATAATACATCCGCGGGGGATACGTATCAAGCATCACCGCGGGTTTATGAATTTCAAACTATGAAACATTTTCTTCCGTCTGCTTACCGTATCGTCAATGTTATGTACGAACTTGTTTACACATATTTCAGGATTTTTTGCAATAAGAAAAATACTATGGATGTCATATATCAACAGCATGCACTTATCCACGAAAAAAATGAGAAAAAATCATCAGGAGCTTAAAAAAAGCTAAAATTTATATTTAAAAAGTACACAGTTAAAAGTAGTGGATGATGAATCAGCTAAGTTAGCTCTTTCATCGTTCTCAAGGAACAGATAGGAGGCTGCTTTGTCTGGTTTTTCAACTGCTGGAAATTTTGCTGAAGAGAGTTCATTCCTTGAGTTAGCAATTGGGTTATGTTCATGCTTCCGTTCCACTATTGATCATATTCTATGATTTTGTCTTTCAACTTTTGAGTTAATCGACAAAAAAATCCAAATTTTTCTATTGTACATTTCTGTTTTTCTTCCACTTTATCCTGCATACGAATCAGACACTTTCTGTATCGCGTGTTCCTATCGTCAATGTTATGCATTAACTTATTTACACAATTTCAGGTTTTTTTTTGTTTTTTTAAAGAAAAATACAATTTACGGTAACAAACATACGCGCGGGAAATAATATATGCACATCAACAGGTATCAATCAAAATCAGGCTAAAAAAGCTAAAGTTTATATTTTAAAAAATCCACATTTAGATGGATGATGACTCAGAGAAATTTGCTCTTTCATCTTTCTCAAAGAACATTGTTATAAGAGGCTGCTTGGTCAGTTTTTGTCTGGAAATTTTGCTGAAGAGTAACTCGAGTTAGCAATCGGGTTTTACCCTATTAGATCATATTCTATGATTTTATCTCTGAACTTTTGAACTTTTTTTTTATCCCTCCACCTCCCCGCCGTACTTTAGGGAGACCCCATACCGGCGGACCTCGGCCTCTAATCTAGTTTTACTTCTAATTTTGGGTCCTGGGGTACTTAACGCCTTCCTTCGGTCTCGCCCTGTGAGGGGAGGAGGCCCAAGGAAGGTAAGGGTAAGGGTAAATTCTTGTATTTCTTACTGATTATTTGTTCCTATTTGAGCTTTAACTTTTGAGCTAATCGAAAGATTTCTCCAAATTTTTCTATTCTCTATTTCTGTTTTTCTTCTACTTTATCCTCTTGTGTTATCGATTTGATTCATACCCATTCCCACTTTCTTCTGGAACTCAACTAGAGCAACCGCGGATAACAATTGTCTACTGTAGTGCTAATGTTTATGGTGTCATAAAAACATAATTTTATGTTACAACAACATCCACGTCGCTCTTTCACACTTTATTGTCGAAAAAAGCGAAAATGGGCGCTAGAATCTGAATATAAAATTTGGTTTTAATTTTGTCAAGGGTTACTATTATAATAATGTCAAAATAAATTTAAAATTTATTGACGGAGAGTATTAAGTTTCGATCTTTTCTTGGGAATGACCTGTCCTTTTCACCTTCCTTGCTCTCTTTCTCTTCTAAATTTAAACATGATAGTCTTCTCCAATCTCTTAGAAAGGAAAAGTAACGATTGTATTAAAGCCAGTATAATTATGAAAAAAAAAAGAAAACAAAGATCTTAGGTTAAGTTAGGAGTAAAGTTAACACACACGGGCGAAATATGAGATCTGAACTTTTTTAATGTTTCGGAATTTTTGAAATAATAAAAAATATAACGAATTATCCCTTGTCCTGATTTAATTAATATTAACGTTTTAATTAAAAAATTTATATACATTTTGAACGAATTTTTCCATCGCGAGACGTAACGTACCAAAGTACCCGTATGCTTAAGACATATTTATTTTTTAAATAAAGTCAGTTTTTCATACGTATTAATCAATATTAAGTATTAAAATTCGAACTTAGTAAGAATTAATAATAATGAACAGTAATATTTTACGTAAAATTTAATTGTACTTTTAAACGTTCTGTTGTAAAAATTTAATTTTTTTCTGGAGTTAAGATTTTTAATGATTGATTGTAATCAGTATAGACAAAAGCAAATACATGCATATTCTTTTTTACCCATCCTTTTTTTTATGCAGTCCTGTTTGCATTAACCGAAAAATTCGTCAAATAAATTTTGTCAAAATCAACAGCATTTAGCAATTAGTATATGAAAGAGTTTCTTCGTCTCTCTCTCTCTCTCTCTCTCTTACTCTCTCTCTCTCTCTCTCTCTCTCTCTCTCTCTCTCTCAATCTGGGAATTATCCCACCTCCTGATTTAATTAATATAACACTTTAATTAATTAATTTATATAATTTTTTAACGAATTTTTCCGTCGACAGACGTACCAAGACATTTTGCTTCAAATTTAATTGTATTTTTAAACGTTTTGCTGTAAAAATTTAATTTTTTTCTGGAGTTAAGATTTTTAATGATTGATTGTAATCAGTATAGACAAAAGCAAATATATGCATTATTCTTTTTGACCCATCCTTTTTTATGCAGTCTTTTTTGCATTTACCGAAAAATTCGCTAAATAAAATTTTGTCAAAATCAACAGTATACAATTACTGTATGAAAGACTTTCTTCTTCTCTCTTTCTCTCTCTGGAATTATCCCACCTTCTGATTTAATTAATATTAACGTTTTAATTAATTAAATTTTGAACGAATTTTTCCATCGCGAGACGTAACGTACGAAAGTACCCGTATGCTTAAGACATATCTATTTTTTAAATAAAGTCTGTTTTTCATACGTATTAATTAATATTAAGTATTACAATTCGAACTTAGTAAAAATTAATAATAATGAACAGTAATATTTTACGTAAAATTTAATTGTATTTTTAAACGTTTTGCTGTAAAAATTTAACTTACAATTAATTAAGGTTTTTAGTTGACATGAAATAAAGTTAATGGCACGAGAGGGATTCGAGAGAGTAAAAATTTAATTTTTTTCTGGAGTTAAGATTTTTTTATGATTGATTGTAATCAGTATAGACAAAAGCAAATACATGCATATTCTTTTTTACCCATCCTTTTTTTATGCAGTCCTGTTTGCATTTACCGAAAAATTCGCTAAATAAAATTTTGTCAAAATCAACAGTATACAATTACTATGAAAGACTTTCTTCTTCTCTCTCTCTCTCTCTCTCTCTCTCTCTCTCTCTCTCTCTCTCTCTCTCTGGGATTTAATTAATTTTAAGATAAACTTTTAATTAATTAATTAATATAAATTTTGAACGAATTTTTCCATCGCCTGACGTCGTACCAAAGAACCCATATGCTTAAGACATATTTATTTTTAAAATTAAGTCTGTTTTTCATACGTATTAATTAATATTAAGTATTAAAATTCGAACCTAGTAAACATTACATTAATAGTAAACAGTATTATTTTAATTAAAACTTAATTGTACTTTTAAACGTTCTATTGTAAAAATTTAATTTTTTTCTGGAGTTAAGATTTTTAATGATTGATTGTAATCAGTATAGGCAAAAGCAAATACATGCATATTCTTTTTTACCCATCCTTTTTTTATGCAGTCCTGTTTGCATTTACCGAAAAATTCGCTAAATAAAATTTTGTCAAAATCAACAATATGCAACAGTACATGAAAGACTTCTCTCTCTCTCTCTCTCTCTCTCTCTCTCTCTCTCTCTTTCTCTTAACTCTGTTAACTAAAACCAAAATGAATATATTGTACGTACTGCTTACTTTTGATATGCGTGTGTCCCGTGGTGTGGATATTCAGCTTGCGAGTTGGTACGACTTTCTAAGAGGGGTTTTTATACCCGGCCAGCTCTGTCGGTCGTTTCTTACAACAGAGGGCCGACTTTCCACGGCGTCGTCGAAAATGTCTCGTCGTTAAAATATATTTATAATATATTTTTTTCCCTTCGAATATAATTTAAACCAAAGGGCGAAATTTCTTGCCTTTCCTCCGATTTATACCTGTGGATTTTATTTTAGTTTAATCTTGGGTTTTACGAATAGAAATAATATATAATCGGACAACCGTATACAAAAATATTCCTATACGCTCCAATAAATATTCTCAAAGGAATTTTATTATTTTTCTAGTATTATTATTAGTTAATTAAGTCACAATAAATATTATTTTATACGCTCTCTTATAAGATTTTTTCTATCTATGCATCTACTTTTTGTAAGGGATGCTTTTAATCATAAAATTACAATTGTGCTTTAGTGTCATTTGTTGTTATTTATTTACAAATATCCCTATTAAAGAATATACTAAATTGATAGAATAAAAACTATTAACAAATTTGTGATTGAAAAAAAAAACTTGATTTAGTAGCAAACATATTTTCAATCAGCAATGTTGTTTATTTATTTTTTAAACTAAACATACCATTTATTTATTTTCTTAAATTTATTTTACGAGTCAAAACCTCATTAAAAAAGTATACAAAAGTAAAGAGAAAAAAAATATATACAATACAATGCATATAACTAACTCAACATTAATAAAGAATAAAACACTGTACTATACATCAATGAAAAAGACAATAAAATCCTTATAAAATAAAACATTATACTATTTCTTACAAGATTCTTTCTATCTGTGCATCTACTTTTTGTGGGGGGGAAAGGGATGCTTCTACTCACAAAATTAAAATTGAGCTTTAGCGTCATTTGTTGTTACTTATTTATTTACAAATATTTCTATTAAAGCATGTGCTAAATTGATAGAATAAAAACTCATAGAATAAAAACTATTAACAAATTTGTGATTGAAAAAACTTAATTTAGTGGTAAACATATTTTAAATCTGCAATGTTATTTATTTATTTATTTTTTTAAACTAAACATGCCATTTATTTATATTTTCTATTTATTTTATGAGTCAAAACCCCAGTAAAAAAATAAGGAAAAAAAATATATAAAATACTATGATTATAACATGTTGTTTATTTATTTATTTTTAAACTAAACATACCATTTATTTATATTTTCTATTTATTTTACGAGTCAAAAACCCAGTAAAAAAGGTTAAAAAAGTAAGGAGAAAAAATATATAAAATACAATGCTTATAACTCAATGTTAATAATGAATAAAACACTATTCTATGAAAAAGACAATAAAAACCTTATAAAATATAATAGTCTCTTTTAGGCATGTTAATGTTAAATAAGAAAAAAAAAACTCTATTATTATTATTGGCCATACAAGCCTTGGGAAATGTTTAAATTATGCAACAAAAAATCTTAATTCTAATTAAAGAACAGGAATAAATTTTATAATTTAAAATGGGTTTTTTGCATACGGCCTTTCAAATTAAGAATTTTAAAAGGATAAATTAAAGCTTTGGATGGCAATAATATAGATTAGTTTATGAGTGAATTTTTGGAGTTAGCATGAAATGACCTTAGCCATTAAAACACCCTTGAAAATTAATAATAATAGTAAAAAAAAATCAACTATTTATATACCCTTCTCTAGCTGATAGCTGTAAAAAATAAATAAAAAATAAAATAAAAATTAATAACAACGGACAAGACTTAGTCTGTCTAAATTAGGTTTGTAGCATGGCAAATCTACTCGTGCAGGTCTCCCTTAGGCATGTGCGGGGCAAATACAAAATAATATAAAAATGCAACAATTTATATGTCATTCTCTAACTGATGGATGTAAAAAAAATAATTGTTACAAAAAATAAATAAATATCAGTTGAGAAATAAAATAAACCTTTCTTTTTTTCTAATTTTCTTACTTCGCCAAACAATCTTAAAAAAAAATTAGTAGGAAAAAGGGATAAATAAAAGACAGTGATTTAGCGTTCACACAAATATTTTTTTATTATATATAACAGTGAACGTATTAGGTATAATTTAATCATTATCTTTAATGGGATTTAATTGCTTAATCTTTAAATATATGTTGTTGTTTTTTTAAATATTTTTATTATAGATACACATCAAACACCAAACCAAGGAAATGTGTCAGTGATAAAAAAATTGACAAACTATGTGTAAATTCACATTGAAATCAAATAATGGGGTATCAGAAGGATGAATATAATTAAGTACAACGCTGCAATAAAGTTACAGATTAGAAATATTACTTAATCGAATAAATAATATACTGACCTACAATTACTGTTCAACTTGTTTCGTTTGATCTTATAACTATGGTAGTTGTTCAAAAATGAAAATTATGCGTGTAGTTAAATTTTACTTACAACACATAAATTATCGATTAAAACTTTCCAAGATGTAAATGCATATAATAAAACAGTTAATTTCCAACTCACGAGTATAAAGTTGAGTTATACTGTTAAGCGTATTTAATGACTATTGAGCATTCTCTCACGCCCTTTTGTAATAAGTAAATAATAAATATAAAACCAAAACAACAAATCGTTTATATAATACAAATTAGAGCTATTAAAAATTTGATTTTGTTTATAGAATCCCAACTTTTGTACAAGTCATCATATTCACAGCACAACATACATATTAAATAAATCAAATATAACATTAATGTATCACGTTTTAAACCGACGTGGAAATTGATAAAGTTCATTTACTATACTATAATGGCAACTTGGTTTGGCTTTAAATTAGTAAAAATATATATTTTATACAAATATATAAATGTTTCACCCTCATAACTATCGTGTTGAAATCCTATTTATAGGTATTGGCCCGTAGAAAACTACTTGTCAGTCGTCGCCAGGCCGAAAACCGTCGAGAGGAATGAAAATCGCTCTCTTTAGGTTTACGATTAACCGAAGTGTATATGTGGTGGGCACATGGGTGCTAAGAGACTGAGGTCCTGTTGTCGGGAAGATGTCAAAGCCTCAACACCGGACCCTCACTTGTTTGTCATCTGCTCTGCTCAGGTTCTATCAGTATCTGTTAAATGAAATTTTATTATATTTTAAACTTATGAATTGCTTGTTTACAACAGTGTACAGTTTGTTCTGGAAGTGTAGCGATTAGCCATTAATAAATGTTTATATAGAAATATAGAAAAATGTCACTCAAAGACAAAAAACCGGACACTTTATTTTGTCCTTTATTTCCAACAGTATGTCTTTTTATCATTAGATTATTTACAACATACTTATTTTAATGTAAACCAAATTAAACGAGGTCAGAAAGTTTTATTAAAAAATATTTAATTATGATGGCTCGAAAGAAATTTCACCAAAACAACGGAAAATAATTTAGTGATTAAGAATTTATTGTCTTGTTTTGCTAGTAACAACGCGTATTACGTTGTTTGGCCTCATGGAGGGCTTTAAGTCTCTTAGGCATGGAGTAAATTCATCATCGGATTTGAGATTCTTCAACAAGGGTGATTTGAAGCTGTTCAACACTTGGAAGTGTTGAACGATGTCTAACCCGTCTCTATCATGTTCCATAGATGTTCTACGGGATTCATATCAGAAAAATGTCTTGGCCAATACATTGCGATAATCCCTACATCCTCCAAGTAATGAATGACAATGAGCTACATGCATTAACACAAAGATATCTTCAATGAACACAACAAACTTTTGGAACTTCCTCCATGTGCCTTAGTGCAGTCAAAGACCCATTCTGTTTGATAATCAGTTTGGTATGGGCATGGATGTTGATTCCACCCCATAACTGTCTTTGGCTGACTCACACATGTAGCAAAGTGTTCACAACTTTTCCACAGTCATCTGATTTCTACAAACCAAACCAGCACTTATCTGTAAAGAGGTCAACTCTCCATTGTTCAACAGTCCAGTCGAGATGCTGAGCTTTCTACTTGATGCTTCTCCTGTAGTAGAAAACCTGATGGACTATTCTCGTGAAGCCTTCTGATGAATGTTTTAGAGCTCACCCTTACATTAAAGTCAGTTTGGAGGACTACCTGTCAAGGACACTATTAACATCACAGTTGACCACTATCTGCTCTTCAATCAAGACTCCCACTCGCCCTAAACTGCTGTAGACCATCTTAAACAGTAGAACGTGCTAAACCCAGGACTTGACTACATAACAGATGCCTCTCATTTGCCCAGATGAGATCTTCTTGACTTAAAACCACGCTCATTATTAGGTCATTATGAAAGTCTTTGTGCATTAATTAATTGGTGATAGTAATACTACTTTAATCCTTATGACAATTAATTAAGATTTTTAGTTGAGATGAAAAAAAGTTAATGGCACGAGAGGGATTCGAACCCATGACCTTCGGCTAGATACACTGCTGCTCTACCAGCTGAGCTATCGTGACCTCGATCCACTCGGACATCAACTCCCCATCTCAATCCCACCTTATGTATTTATGGAGGTGAACTTTCAAATTGTCGCCAAACCCCTACTGCTCGAATATCCCATCGTTCAATGCGAGATAATTGGAAAAGGAAGAGGCTCTGTGTGGAATGGTGGGGGAGTCGGGTTTCGAGCGAGAAACGGAAAGGACGAAAGAAGTGCCCTGTGAGAGTCTGCGCAAACCAGAAAAGAAGAAGTCTATAAATTATTGTTTTATATCGTACGTACGAATAATAATTATAATTCCTTAAATTCACTAATTTCGTGGTCCGCTTGACCAATTAAATATTACAATTAATTTAGGTTTTTAGTATTTTTGAAAATGGCAAAAGGAGGGAAAACTCATAAGGTGGGGTTGAGATGGGGAGTTGATGTTGATGTGTATCTAGCCAAAGTTCGTGGGTTCAAATCCCTCTCATGCCATTAACTTTTTTTCATCTCAACTAAAAACCTTAATTAATTGTAATAATTATAATTTTTCAAAATTATATGAGCTCATAGTTTTGGCCTAAAGAGGATTAGTTTATTTTATTATTAATTATTATTTTATTTTCTATATAAACAGAGGTTACCTTTTTTTTTTAAATTAATTAAATATATTTAAGTTTATAAGTAGGAAAATGTTAATTATTTTTTAATTATAGGAAAGTATTTGTTCATTTGTTTATATTTTTTATTATAGAATGAATTGTTTAATAAATAGTATTATAGTGGAATTTATTTAATTTAATTTACCCTAATATTACAAGTTTTCCCTCCTTTTGCCATTTTTCAAATGTCGTGTAATCGGTTTGGATTCTCGACCAATTGAAAAATGGCAAAAGGAGGGAAAACTCATAAGGTGGGGTTGAGATGGGAGTTGATGTCCGAGTGGATCAAGGTCACGATAGCTCAGGTGGTAGAGCAGCGGCGTATCTAGACGAAGGTCGTGGGTTCGAATCCCGCTCGTGACACTGACTTTTTTATCTCAACTAAGTACCTTAATTAATTGTAATATATTAATTGGTCACGCGGACCACGAAAGTAGGGATTTAATCCTTATTCGACTCTGATGTAAACAATGCATATATCGTTGTTCACTTTGACTAATCCTTTATTTAATTATGTATACTAATTGACTCTGCCTTTCATTCCATTTTATAAATCTCACTGAAAATGTCGGAAGAAAAAATTGTCATTCTTGGTCTACTGAAGCACTACTGGAAATCAAGGACTATTGCGAAGGCAGCGACTGAGGAAATTTGTGCAGTGGAAGGTGAAAATGTTGTGCATTATAACACTGCAGCGTTTTGGTTCAATTCTGGGAACAACAGCCTTCAAAATGAGCCTAGATCTGGGCCCTTTAGTGCTGAATTACTCGAGTCAGTCAGTAAGGATCCATAACTGACTACTTGAGGATTCAGACAATAATTTTTGTTTTTTGAAATACCAGGCAGTAAGTAAGTTGCCAATTAAAAATGCTTAATGTCCGAAAAATGCAACTTGTCAGCCATCCAAGCTCAGCAAGATACGATATCGGTAAAAGTTTCCTTCAAAATACAAAATATATATTTTGGAAGAGAATTGTAACGAGCTATGAAAAACAGATATTAAAAAAATCCTATCCAACGAAAACAGTGAGTTCCGCAAGGCCAAGAAGTTCAGGCAGAGGTTCGCCAAGATCAATTTGGAAAAAAGATTATGCTTTGTGTTTGGTGGAATTATGAGGGTGTTTTGCATTTTGAGCTGGTTCCAGATGGCTCGGGTTAAAGCGATATTTCAGCAAGACAACGCCTGGTTCACGTCTAGCCAAAGAAAATTTTTCAGAAGGGAGTTAGCACCTTGCCCCACCCTCCTTACATCCCTGACATTGCCATCTGACTGTGATCTTTTCCAGTCAATGGTGCATTTTTTTGAAAAGCCGGAACTTCGAAAACTACGAGTATGTCAAATTATGATGTAAACAATTCTTCACCTCGAAAACCAAGGACTGGTATCACCATCAACTTCAACTTCTGGCAGAAAAATGAATTAAAGTAGTTGATAATGATGACCTATATTTCGAGGAATAATTTTCATGTTTACATTTTATACTGAAATTTAAATAAAACTTAATTTATGCCCAAAGACTTTTGTAAATAACCTAGTAATACAAGTAAAAAATCTAAACAACAAACTAAACTTTGTCTTTGAGTATATATAATAACGTATAATAGGGAGATAATTAAACCAAATATTATTCTCAGATTACTCCCCTGATTTTCAAATTATCTTGAAATATTGTCTCTAATTATTAAAATAAATCATAAAATATAAAGTTATCAATAAAGTACATAATGGTTATCATATTAATTATCGTAGCTCAAATCACACAACTTTTAGTTGAAAAGAATAACAATAAAATAAAAAATTGATTCAAGATGTAAAATAAAATTTATTTTATATTTTCAACAAATCACTTAAAACCATTAAAATATACGGTGTCATACTCAATCTATTAGGCTACCCCTTCAATTTCCCAGTGATATTGTTTTTGTTTTTTAAATTGAAAAAAGTGTCTTCTATCATTATTTTTATATCTTCTAATGTATAAAACAAGGGAATAGACTGAAGGAGGAAGGTCTGGAGGGAACAGGAAAATCTTGATCTGTTTCAGTTTCTTTTTGCTTGTACATAAGAAGTAGGCAACAGTTTTTGGTTAAGTTTAAAATAAATGTAATAAACAATAAATACCTCACTAAATAATCATTACCTCACTCAAGATGGCCCAATTTACACTTTCGCTATGGACTGTAAGCCTAATTTCTTTTAAAGGTCCGAGCCTGGGATCCATCTTCCCCTCTGCAAGTCCCATGTTGTCAAACTTGCCTGAATATCAAAATAAGTTTATTTACGCTAATACTGGAAAAACATTAGCTTCAATCCGCCTACCGATAACGATGAATCCATCAGTAGTTAAGTTGTACGTATCGTAGTTCACAGTAGGCGAGGCTAAAGGAAGAACTTCAACTGTTGTATTGTAAAATCTGTCAAGAGGATGCTCGAGGTTCCCGCTCCTGAACATATACCTATAGACACAAAATAAATAAATAAAATAAACCGTACAATAATGTTTTTAATTTAGATTATGGATTCAAATATACACATACTGCCTAGGACAAACTTATATCAGACATTTTTAAAATTTAAAATGTCTACTTACCTTTTTATATTAATAGGATTGTTGAATTTGAAGAACAAGTGATCACCCGGCTGTGGGAGCAGGCCCCAGAAGAAACTCTCTCCAAGATAAGCCCGTTTCAGCGTATATTGCTTGTAGGCTTTAATCTCAGAAATAACATTTGCTTCTGGATTGCTGTGTGGAGAATATAATCTAACTTTCCCAAATTGTTTATCCTGGGAAAAAAATACATTATATTATTTATGAGATTATTTTACAAATAAAACAACACCAGAGTGTAAAGATTTTGTGATGTAAAAAATTTAATAAGCTCTTATGTGAATCACTGAAGAAAATATTTACAAAATCTATTTTGAAGTAGAAAGATTGTTTTATAACGAGGCTACCTTTAATTTCTGTACTTTTCCCTTGAGCGACGAATGAGTGCCAATGTGCTGGAATAAAGAAGGTTTGTAGTGGATCCACAGTTCGTCTTTAGCTTTTTTGCAGTGTTTCTGTAACAGTGGTACATGCAAAATGGTAAAGGAAAAATGAAGCTTGAATAAGATAGTTTTCTTTTAGTTAAAGTTCAAGTTAACGTTAAAACATTACAAAAACAAAACGTGAAGTGAGTAAATTTTTTTATGATGTTAATAACTAATGAAAAGAATGAATATAAGTTTAATTTTTATACAAAGAAGGTCGAGAAGGAAAATTAGTGCACGAGCAGGACTTGAAACTATGCCCCCCCCCCACCGTGGTGTTATACCCCAGTTCTCTACTACTTCAGCTATTGTGATTTTGGTTCAGAAGACACCAATTCCTCCTTTCAATCGACTATAATTTAAATTTTGTATATAAACAAATACATTTAAATATAAACATAAATAATAAAAAATAATATTTAAAAAAATTTAGCCTGGTTTTGTGATTTTACTTGGAGGATGTTTTATTTATTATAATTAATTAAGGGTTTTAGTTGAGATAAAAAAGTCAATGGCACGAGTGGGATTCGAACCCACGATCTTCGGCTTGATACGCCGTTGCTCTACCACTTGAGCTATCGTGACCTCGATCCACTCGGACACCAACTTCCCATCTCAACCACACCTTTTGAATTTTCCCTCCTTTTTGCCATTTTTCAATGGTTCGAATCCCGCTCGTGCCATTGACTTTTTTATTTCAACTAAAAACCTTAATTAATTGTAATATATTAATTGGTCAAGCGGACCACGAAATTAGTGAATTTAATGAGTTTTATTTATTGTTTTATTTACTTTTTAAATTTTTTACATTTTATTGGATTATTATATTTATTGCCAGTGCTGCCAACATTATATTTATTATTTATTAAATCCATTATATTTTGTGGTATTGGCCAAATAACTTCTTTCAATTAATTAATCTTTATGTAAGGTATTGGTTGAAATGAAAAATGGCAAAAAGGAGGGAGAATTCGAAAGGTGGGGGTTGAGATGGGAAGTTGGTGTCCGAGTGGATCCAAGTTACAATAGCTCAAGTGGTAGAGCAGTGGCGTATTGAGCCGAAAGTCGTGGGTTCAAATCCCGCTTCTACTTTTTCATTTCAACCTTACATAAAGATTAATTAATTAAAATAATTTATTATTTATTATATTTTGGTTTAAAGCCAAAGGTAAAATAAACACAATAATCCGATAAATTTCCAAGTAAAATCACAAAGCCAGGTCAAATTTTTTAAAAGAGAACCTGAGTATTGTAGGAATTTAATTGCGATTATATTGATATGACTGTCGTTTGGCAATAACACGGTTTAATAGAAGGTTAGTGAGTCGTAAAATTGTTGACCTGGGTGTTAGTCAATTATCTATCGCTTTCTTTCATCTGTTGGCAATTGAATAACTGTTCTTTGAAGCAAGATTGGACTGTTTCAATAACACCAACAAAGCGAAACAGATATAAAAATTGGTTCATAATCATTTAAATTTAGAGAACCATGCATCTACATCTGCAATGAAAAATGTTTCTACATATTTTTTTTATTAATCTGTTTATAAAAAATGTATAAACTCCTACAACAAGGACAGGATACTTTGGCAATAGCACCTTAATTTAGACACCCTAATCAATTTAATTATTTTAAGTCCAAATTTTATGAAGAAAACCCAATTTTGGTTTGGTGGGAAATTCATTTTTAAATTATAAAAAATTTTGTTTTAGTAATTATGGCCAAGTCATTATTAAAGACGTAGTTGACTGTACTCATCTGAATGTCAAAGAGTGCCCTGGAATACATTTAAATAGTCAAATAGTCTTTACATAGAGTGTGAACATACTAAGGCAAAATAAATTATTCATTACAAAGACATTTTATACAGTTTTGAATAAATAAAAATCAATACTTTTAATAGGTGCTTGGATCATGATTATAAATTAAAAGTAAAAATGAAAAAATTGAAATTTAGGCAGGCCTTGAAAGTTGAAAATTAGGCGGACATATTATATACGACACAGATTCAGATTGAAAATAAATATGATAGCAAAATTTAAAAAAACCGCCCTTACCGTATCTTTGTCCAGGTTGCAGCTTTTTGTATGAATTAAATGATCTAAAAGCCAGTCGACTGGTTTATCATTGTAGAACATGAAAAAGAATTGAATGAGCCATGGTAACTCAACACACCTAAACATTTTACCTGAAACAAAATTCATAAAATTATAATAATATGGACGACATATTAAATAACAAACAAACCAATTAATTAATTTTAAATAATAAAATTCAACATGATTTCTTTTGTTTTTGCAATACTGTAAAACTGTTTGATGTATTTGGCTAAATCTGGTTTCTATTTATTTAAAAATATAAATATAAAATGTGCCATGTTAATTAAAAATATTTTTTTTCTAAACTAGCTTGATTATCTCTGATCATCCTGGTTTTGAATCTCAGATGAACTGCAGGTGTGTAAAAGTAATTTAAATTGTAAAATGGCATAATTAACAATATAATACATAGTCCATCCAACAAAATGAGTGTCAAAGATAATAGGCAGACCAGAATGATTGAAGATGATCAATCATCACCTTGTAAAAATCACCGTAATAAAATAATATCAGTAATAAAATGCCTTTATTTGAGAAATGTTTTCTTCTAAACTTGAACCTTTACAAGTCTTCAGATATCACAATTTTTCACAATTTTATAAATATTGTATGTTAGAATCTCAGATTAAGCTGAAAGTAAAGCAAATCCTCACCGATAAACCCTAACTGGCAAAAGTCGAGGACGAACCACGGCTTTTTGTTGGTGATCCTCTCCAGAGCGACACTTTTCATTGTTGTTACAAAGTGGGGCTTGGCGAGAATGTCATCCTCCAGTTGGATGTAGAACATCGCTTTGGGCTGAGCGTACATCATGAGAAAAGCAAAGTCCAGGTTCTGTTTTGTCCTCCATCTGACTCTTTCTGGAGCATCGCCCAGAGTTGTCCTCAGCTTGTTCATGTCTGGGTAATACGACAGAGGGGGTGCGATCACCTCAAGCAATCCACTGTGAAGCTCAATCTCAAAGCTGAGAAAAATAATATATTCCATATTTTTAGCAGGTTTGACAATTTGATGTCATTTATTTTCATCATTTGTTTTTTATCCCAGCGAAAACAATTGACAAAGTGTTCAGCAATGGACATTTGGTTTGTGATTAAAAAAATTAATGGAATATTTGCGTAGTGAAATACCCGCCAAGGCTAATGTTAAAGTGTTTTATTAACACTTTAAGGTGCAGGTTTTAAATTTTAAATTTCTCATGAACAATATCACACCATCGCTTTGTAGTTGGTTCATTCGGGTAATGAAACTTCCAGCAAAATTGAATTTATAATCAAACCATCACCACAAAATTAATTATTAAATTACCAGCGCATTCAGGGCTTAATAAGAATTGGTGGTGTTACATAATATAAACTTTATAATATGTTTAGTTAAAATATATTAAATTTATTATTTTAGAAAAGTTAAAATTAAAGAAAAGTCTAATTAAACCAAAATCCATAATAAATTAAACAAAATCAATACTCACTGCTCTTTGAGTTCTGTTGCCACCTGCAAAACGTACTCCTCGTCTGTCTGTAGAAGACGAACAGTAAAGTAGAGACTTTTTAATTTTTCCTGATATTTGAATTGTATTTAACTTTTACCTCCGCAATAAGGACGACGATGATGGCATCGTCTTGTTCAGCCTTGCTCATGCTTTGAATTAGATTTTGCAATGTCGATAAAAGATAACTTTGTACCTCTCGTTTGACAGTAGGGACTCCCATAATAACAGAAACTATAAAATGTAAGGTCTTTATGTAAGGATTTGAAAGAAAATAATTTATTTTATTTTTTAAATTTTAAAATGGGAGTCAAGTATCAAATATTATTTATAACAATATTACATTTGACGGAACGGTTTGGCTTAATTATCTTTTTGTAAATAAAAAATATCCCTTAAATCTATTAACTAAATTAACAAAACTAAAATGTTGATATGTTTTAGACATCTAATGGTCCAAAGTCAAGATTTTAACATTATATTGTCGATAATAGGTTGAAAAGAACACAAACAAATTTGTTTAATTAATACTAATGATTAAAAGCAATATAAATTTATTTAGAATATTTTATTATATTTCTTTTTTATTATTTAATTTTGCTGGAAGATATAAGTAATAAAGTACAAAATAAATCTTTTTGTAGGTATAACTTTTAGCGTCTGACATAATTAAACATACATTCATCGTTTTTATGTTACTATTGTAGTGGAGTTGTGATTAATGTTTTTAATTTAATTTCTGGAAAAATAGACCTTACCCCCATTGCGACCTTTTGAGAGGGAGTACGCTGGTCGTAGACTGGCAGGGTTGAGGAGCAAATGTGGAAGGAAGTGATAAGCAGATGGTAGCCTCAGCGGATGTACATTGCCTGTTGTGTTTCCGATGAGGTATCTCGCTTCAGGAGGGATTCCGCTGATGTTGTACGAATCGGTCAGCAGCTGGGACAAATGCTGAGAGAGGATTTGGACATTCTCTTCCCTCGCTCTGTACATGGCATCTAGGTGCTGAAGCCGGAGTTGCAACTCCGCCAACCTCTCCACTAACACTTCTTCTCCGCTCATATCTAAAATAATATTACAAGTTTTTAATTTTTAAATTATCTTTTTTCATAGAATATAGTGATGAGCCTTGGAGGTGTTTTTTGTCTTTTCTAATTCTGATTCTAATTCAACCTGATTCTAATCCAAGAAGAAGCTAGAGCTGTGGCTCACAAGCTCATAAATGGACAACCATCTTCAAGGATAGGCCATGTCAAGGAACAATGGAAAATGGGGGAGGGTAATGTGCAGATGCCATACTAGGCATGCTGATCGATTCCACTACTCCAAAACATAGCTTCACCAACAAGTACAAGGTACTAATAACTGGAATGGGAAAAAGGGCCAAAGGAATCTGAACGCCAATTCCTACTGGTAACTGATGGCTCAAAAATAGATAGAGCCAGAAGAATAGCCTCCTTGGGGTGAATTCAAAGACTGAAATGATTTTAAACATGCTACATTTTTCCAGTCTAAAATCATAGCAATTGAACACTGCATCAGAGAATTAAAAGGCTTGAAAAATGTTCCAGGAAGATAGCTATTTTTTCTGACAGTCAGGTGTATGGAATTGTATGGAATCCTGGCAGAAGTGAGAGACACCAATGACCTGACCCTTGCATGGGTCCCTGGGCATTCGGGATAGAGAGCCAATGAGAGGAAAAAAGTGTTAAGCCAAGAACTTTGTCACAAAAAAGTATCCAAAAATGGTTCCTTAATGAGAATACCCTAGGCATGAGCCCCGTGAAAAGATTCATGAAACAGCCATCTGCAAGACTTATAAAGTTATTACTGGATGGTTGGATTCCTGATAAGACCACTGCTGCCTAATAAGGCACATCCATCACCAGTAGGAGACAGAAGATGTGCAGATACTGCCAGGAAGAAGAGGCTGCAGAAAACATTCTATATTTTTGTGAGTGTCCAAGAAGGTGTAGATTCTTGCATCTAGGAGAAGGAAAAGACGCAACAAGATCCTACACTAATGAGCCACTGTCAGGCCTATGGAGGTTGATTAACAGCTGGCCAGCAAGTTATAAAATATGAGGAGCATAAGAGATCTACTCAGGTCGAGGTAGAGAAGGCCTTGTGGCCACCTCTTTTATCCCTATCTCTAGTGATGGAATCAGGAAAATCTATAGTTAATTATAGTGGTTAGAAAATCTTAATGTCATTAGTCATTACTTTATTACATCCTACGTCCTGTCTAGAAATACTGTTATAATAACACTACCAACTTGTTTTTATACAGTGAATTTCACATAATAAACGAACAGAAATAATAAACCCCCTAGAAATAACTCCATGTTCTCAAGATGAAGCGTTACTTTTAAAGGAAAACAATTTTTTTCCCATTTTTATCGAAAGAACGTGTGTGAAGTTGAGATTAAAGGGGGTGAAGATCAGATTTCATTTCTTTATTTATTATGTTAAGGAAGGGAAAAAAAAACTGAAATCTGATTCGAGTTGGAAAGTCGGAATTTGAAACGGCTCTGAGAGAGATAGTCATCGTTGCTTTTTATCTACAATATCATATTCTGCAAACAAAAATGTTGAAAAAATGGCAAAAGTTTTTATATAATACAGACATACAAGCTCTCCAATTGTAATCAGATTTTTACCGTGTTTTTATTACTCGCGGTTAGCATTTAATTAATTACTTATTGCTGTTCTTGAAAAAGAAGTATATTTCAGATTTAGAGATTGTGGCGTATATCATTATATAATTTCAGCAGAACTCATAAACTCTCCACAAAAAAAAGTTATGAATTATCGTAAAACTCTCAGTCCAATCAGAACAGAACTCTCTCTCTCTCTCATTTTAATCCAGTCTAAAATATTATGCTTAAATCTAATATCTTAATCTCCTATGATGAAGCGAAAGACATAATCTCTTTGTCAAATTGAGGAGACCATGAGATCTGACTGTCAGCAGTTTTATCATCCCTGATCTGGTTCTTATGTTATCTCTGAACATAGGGCCATCACTTTGTGCAATAAATAAATACAGTCTACATCAAAGCAATGTACAAATTTAGAATTGTATCATTTAGTCAAAAATATTTAACAATGGGAGAAATGGTCGAGTGGGGTGAAATGAAAGAAAAGGGGAAAAAGGTTCAATATCAACTGACCTGGAAATATCACGGTATTGAGGAGTTTAAATTATGTTAAGATATTTATTCTTCAGAATAACGTTTGTATTCTAACTGTTTTTACTGACTCGACTATTCGGCAGAGCATTAATACTATAGTATAGTTTAGATATGTTTATTAGATTATTAATTATGTGACTAACACAAGCATTAAAAAATTTACTGTTGGGCCTTCAAATGTTCTTTTTTCCCCCCTATATCCATGGAACAAAAATCATGTTCAGTTTAATAAAAAAATCTGGATAGACTTTGTTGTATGTTCACCCTTCTGTGGCATAGAGATCACAGGATCAGAGGCTTCGTGCTTAGTATAGAAAAAAGTGCTCTTTCCAAGGTAGGTCACAATAGATTTTTCAAATTCCTTAATCAACCCCAAACCTCAAAACAAAAAAAAACAAAAAAAGAAAAGCTTTTAAAGTAAAAATCCCTTTCTTAAGATATCCCGTATGATCAATGTTTTCTTAATCCTAAATTTACTCCCTTGGGACATTAAAAGAGAAAAACCGATTTAATTCGCTTGTGTGATCATTATTAATAGCAAATTCAACATCTCTTAACTTATTAAGCCTAATATCCTCCAACGTCAGTACTCACAACACTCTACCTTTTCCAGCACCAACTCAAAAATACAATTATTTTCCTCATATTGGCATTTCTAAAAATTTTTCTATTAATAATAAATATAATGGGTACTATGCATCTCTAATAGCCTCTAATACTCAACTCCGAGTTTCACGAAGCTTACAGGGGAGGGGGTAATTAAACAGATGGACAGAGGGGTACGGAGGAACAGGAGCTGGACCTGTCACCTCCTAAACATACACCCCCTCACCTCATCCTTCATATTCCAATCCCATCCAATTCCAGCCCCAATCTAAGGTGTTAAGCGACCCATGCCAATGGATGGATGGTACAGGGGTAACTGTATCAATACTGGAGCCACAAGGGTATCAGGTGATCCCCTTGAGTAATCAACCTTACACCAGAGAGAGGGATTCTCTGGTGCAGACCTTTAGATCCCTTATACTCTTGTGAATGATATGGATGAACCAAGAAAAACAAAAAAACACCGGGGGAACCTGCAAAGGAAGACCCCAAAAACCAACTTATGGAAATTGAAGAGTGAACCCTCTCTAACACCCATATATCAAGAATTGGAGGACAATCTCCTCGCGTCACCAGTCGCAGATGTGAGAGGGTGTCTTCAGGAAAAACCAAACCAGAAGACAAAACCACTCAAATGGAGGTGACGGAGAAGATTGAAAAACTACACCTCAAACCCAAGAAAACATCAGGGGCACCAAGGCATAAAATGGTAAAATCGAAAGAACCAAACAAAAGGGGGAGTTAATTCTGAAAAGAATCAGGAAAGGGAAGCAAAATCCTAATGTTCATTTCCGGACTCCGGCACCGAGGCCGAGCACTGGAAGTCCCGACCCAATAAACCGGGGCCCACACCAACCACAAGCAGTAAAAGGGACAGGTCACTAGGTAGCACCTCCATCAAACAGATCCTGACCTTGTGAGCACACGGACACTATCACCATTCTCGGGGCTGATGAGATCCCAAAACCCAGGTATTATTATAAAATAATAGGCAATGGAGTAGATAGGAAAGGTCTAACACTGATGTAGACATAGACGAAGTATCCTTTAGGGCTCTAAGTAAAGCCAACTTCATCTTGACTGCAATGATAACCCTAAGGTCGTCAAAAAAGCAGTAAAGACTGATCTGGGGGGGATCTTGTTCGGGCATAACAAAAATGGTCGATCCTATCAAAATTTTCTTTTCAGTAAAAGTGGCATAAAAGAAGGTCTAGAAACGAATTGAACAATGAAAATTTGGGAATTACATTTAAAATAACAAAGTTAGTCATTTCCCAGCTAGATGAGAAAGTTATGTTAAATCTGTTACCACCACGCGATTCCTAGCCGATTAACTTGGGTGGATTATAGAAGTTGTTATAATTATTATTGGGCTTTTGCCCCTGTTTTTTAATAAATAAATTGAGCGTGATGTAAGTAAAACTTACAAGAATCAATAATGGTCAAAATAACATCCTCTAAATTGTTCGGTGTATTTCATATTCGGCCTTTGTGCTTATAACGTATCAAAACGAGAATCAAAGAGAGGCTGACAGTAACATAGGTTTATGAGAAAAGGGTCCTCTCATAACGAGCCCACAGAAGGTCCAACGTTTTGCATATTCTCGCAATGTTTAGAGAAAAACCGCTCAAAACAAATAACGCTTAAACGAAACGGCAATTTTTCCAATTTTCTCACTAATTACACGTTCAATAGTATCGTTCCTAATTAATACCGACCGTTGAAAATTTTTGCGAGTCCTGCGGAAAAGACTATCCAATAATCCATTAATTTTTTTGTCACAACTCCCGTTATTAATTCAGGCTGGATTTAATTTTTTTTAACAAGCCTTCCAGTATATTTTTCATACAAAGCTAATCCATTCTTCACGCGGCACGACGGAATTTTCCTAATCGCTAAAGTACCGTAAATAATTAAAAACACATAAAATTATTATTGTAGTTATTAATATAAAACAACTTGGTCATATCAAGATGAAATTTTTTACAATTCGACTGTACTTTCGAACTGTTTCATCCACTACTTGCTCACAGACATATTAAACTGTCCTGCTGGACAGTTGTACAATCGATATTACATTATATCATTACTTTCATGTCAATGTGGCATGACATGCACTGTGGTCAACTTTTCTGACACTGATGCTTATATTTTCATTAGATACCATTAATTCCCAAGATGGTTATCTTTATATTGCAAGCCGTCTAGATGGCACTTCTCGTTTTCATTGAAAGTTTTTTTTTTCAGTTTTGTGCCCCGTCAT